AGCTCAAAGGGAAGGAGAACCTGAGGGAAGGCTGCCTTTTGCTACACTTTCCATAAAAAAAAAATGATAAACCTTGAGAAAATTGGGGGGGGGAAGTAAAGGGTGAGGAAGCAGTGCCAGGTTTGCTGCTGGGATGACTAATATGAGAGTGTTTTCTCTGCTCATAAAACCCAAGTGCAGTCATACACATGTGCCCATTTTTCCTTGCCAGAAAACACATTTCTGGCTGAATGGTTCCTTTTCTTCCTCTACTCCAGCCTATCCCAGAGCTTTAAGAATAAGTCCACTTTGTGGGAGGAGCTGGGTGGGCAAGATTGTCTAACTTAGGGTATGAATCAAATATTTCATCAGTTCAGTTTATATGGGAACTTGTCTGACTTGTTTGGCCTTCTGCTTAAGATCCTTAGTGGTGGCAAAGCATAATTCAACTCTAAAAGCTTATTTTTAACTCATTTGTGGAAAAGCAGTTGAAGTGGGAGTATTTGCAGCTTAAACTAATTTGCCTGGAAGATCTGAAGCTGTTGGGGAGCAGATGAAAGCCGCGTTAATGCTTCTTGAAAGCACAAGTTGACACTTCATTTTCCTATCGTTCCTGCAGCACAGGTGATGCCAGGAGGGTGATGCATCAGCAGTGCTATTTCTACCCATTTTTCTAGGACAAGCAGCTGTGGAACACGTACTCATCCTCCTTTTATTCCTCCAGGACAGCGTTCCTATTGCTAGACTGGAACAGCAGTGGAGATTTCATTCCAGGCAGTAGGGGAACATTAGCACTCATTTTTTCAAGTGGTTAAGGAGACCACAGCAAAAACCAGTCAGCATGGGGAGAGCTTGCAGGTTGGGCATTTTAATCCTTCAGGGTCTTTCCCCCCCATCCTCCTTGGATGTTGCAGCTTTTATATACATAGCTAAGATGCTGCTTGGTCAGTCATAGTGATCAGAGTTACTGAAATATAGAAGTGCTTTTACTTTAATTCCTGTGTGGTAGGAAACAATTTATTGTGTGGGTTTGTTTGGTTAATTTATTTAGTGCAATTTATGTTATAATCTAACTGCAGTTAATATCTTGAAGATGTGAAGGTGATGGCATTGACAAAATGATTTGTTCCAAGTGGTGCAGACTCTGCTGGAGTGCAGCTGGGTGTTACACTTGTAATCATATTATAGAGATTAAGTTAGAAACTGATTCCTGTTCTGTTGTGGCTGGAAAGACCAGTGACTGACAATCAGCAGGATTTGGGATGTTGCTCTAACATGAGTGGCTTTTTTTAAAGAAAACTAATGTTGAGAGGCAGGTACTGGATAAAGGGAAACTTGATTCCTTGCAGCATGTCAGACTGAACGTGGAAATTGGTGGCAGCAGCTCAGTGGTGAGTTGGAAACACTGTACCAGCTTTAACAGTCTCATTCATCCAATAGTTTTAACATTATTATAGAAAAATATATTACAAATCTGTTATACTTAAAAAAAATTTCATCTGTAAAGTACTTTGTATTGTAGAATATTATACTGTTACAATTTTAGCTTCATCAAGAAGAAAGCAAAGATCCGGTTTTTTTCCTCTCTCCAGTCTCACAGGAAGCAGTGCAGAGCTGCAGTTGTATCTGCTTCTTGCAATTATTTTCAGGAATGTAGTTGTACTTCTCTTTTTTGTACTCCCAAAAGCTGTATGAGAATGTTTTCAATTCAGTGCCCAAACTTTAATTGCAAAATCTCAATCAGTGGAAATAAAGCAAATAAATTCAGTCTGAAGTACTGGAGCACCCACGTCAGCAGCAGCTTCATGTGAAGAGATACCATTTTAGAATGGCACAAAGTGTATTTAATTTTGCATTCATTTTTAAAAAATATTTTTCATTTATGTACTGGCTGTTGCAGTGTCAGGATCTGAAAGGAGAGATTTTGGGTATGCTATGTACCATCCCACCTAATGCCATCTCAGTCTTAAGGTTTATTCAAGCATTGTTTAGTTTTATTTTCATCCTTGGTCTCATAGGTGTGACATCTGCAAGAAGACACTCACATTTGAAAATTCCAGAAGTACAGAACTGGTATATGTTGAAACTAGCATTCAGAAAACAAGGTGGAAACCAACCCTTGTGAATAATTGTCTTTTTAACTGAGTGATTGTTAAATCTCAATATGGAAGATACTAGATGGAAGAACATAAATTTTTGATGGTGCAGTGTAAGCAGAGCTTTTGGTTATGTTGATGTGTGTTCACTCACTTTAGTTAAATCATGGTAATTTTATTATGTTTATTAATATATCGTACATCTCTGGTAAATGGTCAGATTGGGTCACAGCTGGGAATGGCAAAATGGAATAGATCCATGTTTGGGGTTTTCTGTTTTGTTTTTCCACCCCAAAGGAGAAGTTTGGTAACACTGACCAGAAAGTGGAAAGGTAGCAAAGGTAGAGTTGTTGTTCCGTGTATCCCCTGCTCCAAGAATTCCACAAAGCCTCATTCCTTCCACACACCCTGCATCCCCCCTCCCCAGAGGAAGTTATTATTTTCCACCTGGTTTTCTTATACAGCTGCAAGGGGAAGATCAGAGAGATTTGTGATACTGTTTTGATATTGCTCCTAGTCTGTGGCAGAAATCAAGCTCACCAGGCTGAGGTATCTTGAGGGACCCCTGAGCACACTCAGTGCAAGGTCAGTGATTGCTCTGCAGAGTTAAATAATCTGGAGAGGAGCAGGAGAAATGCAGCGTGAAATACGTGCTCCCAAAAAAAGCAAGAGAGGATTCCTTGCAGGAGCCAGAACAGAAAAGCTTTTATACAGGTTGTGGAGATGGATTGGGAAGGAAAGGGAGGTCAGGTTTGACTGAACTAAGCCTCTTAGGGATTATGTATCTTTAAAAGTAAGTCTGGGGGTAATGCCACAATTGGGAGTTCTCCAAACTTTCCCCAGTATTCTCTTAGAGTTTCTTTTCCAGACCTAGTCTTGGTGTGAAACTGGAGCTCCTAAGCTTTATTCCTGCTCTCCTGTGTGAGTGAACACTGGCACCATTGACTACTGTTGAACATGCTTTTCAAGCAGCTGTGTTTTTGTCTGAGGCTATAAATCCAAATCAATCTTCGGGATAAGCAATTGAACGGCAAACAGTATTTTTCTGCCTGGAGAAAGCTTGATTTTTTAATTTTGTCCCAAAACAAAATTTGGGTAGAGCTCTTAATTAAACCTCAGCTTTCCACTGGTAATAGTAATTAATATTTTGGCTCTGTCTGTTGCCAAATACACTTGAGTTTATTCATTATTGATGGTGACAGGCCTGGGTGTTGCTGCCTGGGCCAGCTGAGCTCTACCCACGTGCACTGGGTGTCCTTGGCTCCTGGGCAGCTCTGGGGGTGAGGTGAAGGCTGGTGCTGCCCTGACGCGCCAGGGATGGCCCATGACAAGCAGCTTAGCCCTGAGCACAACCTCTCACCTGCACCAGGGCTGACCTGAACAGCCTGTATCTGATCCCACTTTTTCCTGGGAGCTTGTGGAGTCCATCTATTACCCAGGATTGGGACCTCGAAGCAGCATCACATACAAGTTTCTACACTGATACAGCACAGAGCAGGTTAGTTTGGCATTTAAAGGCATCAGTTGGATGCAGTGCTGAGGGGTGTGTTTGTTTCTTAGGCAAATGCACACTTGAAATTATATTAAAATTGGAATTGAAATAATCTGAAACGGGTTTGGCAAAGTTTTAGTGGAATGTATCTCTGTGTTGAAATGTTATTTATAGAGTGGGATGGGAATTAATACTGATGGTGAGTAGCTTGTGTAAGTTTTGTAAATAATTTAATTAAATCTTTGATTGTTCCAAATGTTAGATTTTGTCTCTTTGGGAATAAAGCTAACTTTGAGACTTTTGAGGTTAGGTGGAATAATTTCAGGGGTACAAGCTAGGACCCCAGAAGCTCATGCTGATAATGAGATTGTCTTATGAGGGTCTGTTGCTTTTATAAAGTGATGTCTTTCTGATAATGTTTAGAGGCAAGTATTTTCTTACACAGCTGATTTTTTTTTGCACTATAGTCTGACTAGGACTAGTTTTTGGGTTAGATGTTGGTAAATTTGTAAAGTCCTGGCAGAAACAGCCACAACATTTCTTGATGTGAACGCCATTAAAGGAGTTCCATTAATGTTGCATTAATGATCACCTTGTTCAATTTTTGTCTTGTTCCCTAATTAAAAAAGAAGCACTTTCTTCTGCTCAGAAAGAAGTACCAGGCCGGTGATACCTTGCTTAAAAATCTTGATAAATTAGAAGACTAGTATTACATTATTACATGGAGGAATTAGAGTTGGATTTATATAACTTGTAATAGTTTGCAGTTGAGATTGTTTTCTTCCGTTGCATGACTGCATCAAAAATACCTCCTGAAGCACGGTGATGATTCAGCAAGTGTTTTTCTGAGGCGTGGAGTTGCAGTAGGATAAATTCGAGCTCATATGTTGCCGAATAAAAATGGCTTGGTTATATTGAGAGTGTAAACCAAGCTTAAATCCTGTGCCAAGAACTGTGAAGGCACTCGGGTACAATTTAGGGATGTGTTGGCTCTGGGTGTTGCACTGTCTCACTTGGTGGTTGGCACTTGGCTGTGGGAAGAGTTTTTAAAGCATTGAATGTTTTAACTGCTTCACCCTTTGTGTCATGGATGTTCCAGGTTTTTTTGACTGATGGAATTGTTTGCACTCTAAACCAAATTATAGTAATTTTTTTAAAAAAAACACTAAAGGGCATTAAAACGGTCAAACACATAAAAGTGTTTGTGTAGAAATGATTTTTTATGTAAGGAAACTGTGTTTTGTACTTGCTGTACTTTGCTAAAGACTTGGGAAGGAACTAAGATGAGAGTTGGGATGTAAACAGGTAGAGTTTCTGACTCCCAACACACAGGTCTTTTTAAATTCTAGTATCTTAATAGATTTATTATGAATTTATTAACTGTATTGAATCTAAATCCTTCTTTAACAAAGATCCTTCTCTTTTATTTTTAGTATATTTTTGGGGAGTTCAGCCCTGATGAATTTAATCAGTTCTTTGTGACTCCACGATGCTCTGTTGAGGTAAGATCTACTTTAAATGTCTTTTAGAAAGAACATTTTAAAGCTGCATCTCCTTGTGTGAATTTGAAATATAGCCATACAATTAATTTTTTACCATTCCCTTAGCTTGCTAATTTATAAAGTGAAGATACTGATCAGTTGGATGTTAAGTCAATTTTTAGAGATAAATCAGTTATTCCACCTTCTGCTTTCAGAGCTGGAGTAGCTGAACTGGTGAGAGGATGATGACAGGAAGTTTTCCAGCCCTGTTGCCTCAGCTTTGGTGGCTTTTTTTTTTTTTCAGGGGTGGACAGGGAGAAAACTTCTCAGCAGTGTTCTTGGGAATAAGCTGGGCTTCTCAGTCTGGTGAGCCTTTTGAAGCACAGGGATTCTTAATATTTTTGGGCAGGTGGAGCTCTACTGACCCTCAGTGCTGGGCTTGAAAGGAAAGCTGTGTGTGAGGCCTGAGGAGTGCAGCAATAATGAACTAATTAGAGTGTTAGTGACAACCACAGAGTAGAAACAGTTGTCTTTGTGTTTGAGTTCCTGACATACTCAGATAGCATTGTAGGCTCTTATTCTCTGTAGTTCTTGGTAGAGAATGATGAAACCATTTTCCTTCGGAGGGAAGAGTATTATCCCATTGTCCTAATCTCCAGACTCAAAAAATGATTTTCCTCTAAGTCAGTTCCCATGTATTTCCTCCAGACATTTCCATTCAAACATTTTGGTCATGCTTCCATCCTTCCCTCTCAACATAAAGGAAATGAACACTTGAGCTGTAGATGGGGGAAATCCTTTTGTCACAGTTTGCAGGCCATTGTTATTGGGACTTAGTTTCCTGTAGCTTAATTTTCCAAGGATAATTAGTATAATACCACTAAACAATAAAAGGGCATGAGGGGAATGGGGTGGGGTGGAGAGTGAGGGAAGTTTAGGAAGAAGAAAGATAGTTTTTACTTGCCTTTTGGGAGAGCTTTGTACCTTCTCTGGTAGGTGGGAAGCAGTGCAGGAAGATCTTTAGGGAATTCATGGTAGTTCTGATGATTTGCTGTTTCCCCACCATAAATGCAGTCTCAGCAGTGACATTTTCATCCCATGCAGCGTCACCTTAAGTGTCTTCCATCAGCTCTTCTAACATTGGGAAAGATAAAAATGTCATATTGGGACGCCTGTAAAGCTGTTCCCAAAGTCTGTTGAGGAAACCGGAGCCTACAGCATCAGAACCAGTCTCACTTCATTTTCTGACTGTCTCAGGTGTACCTGGTTAGCTGTCAAAATAAATGGTCCTTAACTTTGCTCTTGATCTGGTTCAGTTCAATGTTTTAATTATCTGGGTGATGAAATAAAAGCAGTGCTTATTAGTTTTACACTGTGCAGATATTTCATAGAAAATTGGTCTGAAAAAGACGATGGAATTGCAGAAGGGCAGGACAGAGGTGATGATGGTGCTGTGTGTTTGACACACATCGTGCTGCAGGTCCTTCACCTATACACTGAAGGGAGACTGAGCCAAGGGACTACTTAAAGCTAAAGGTTGTCTGGAATGTCCCTTTTACAGGTGACATTTGTAACACGTGACCTGTTGACTGAGGTGGTTCTGGTGGCCCAGTTGTGTGGAACAAGTCGGCTCAGAAATCTCTTCTTTCGAAAGGTGCTGTTGATTGATCAGATGTGTAGGAGAACAAAAGGCTGACTTCTTTTTTTTAAAATCCTTTTTTTTTCTGAAGGCCTTTGAATCTTTGAATTGTGTAAAAACAAAAATGACAAAGTTTATAACAAGCTGTTTGCTGTAGGCATTTAGAGGAATTTTTTTAGCTCTAACTATAAAATCCTGTTGAACCTGTGTTCAAAATTAATATGGATATAATAGGCTCTAAACAGTCTGGAGCCTTTTTCTGACCCACTGTTTCTCATTTTTGACCTGAAAAGATGATATATTAAGATGTATTGTGGTTTGTAAGTGGATTTACAGCATGTGTTCTTTTTATGCACTTTCTGTAATGGCATTTTCGGAATATTTTCCTTGCCACCTGTGATGCACTGCTGTCTACAGTGCATTAAGAAGGCAATATGTAAGTATCTATAGCTTTAGAGAATTGAAAACTCGAATAGAGAACTCTTTTCTTTGTTGCACCATTAGAACTGCTATTTAGAACAGCCCTATAAAGCTGCACTGTGCACTCAATGTTTTATCTCCCACTGCAGAACCAGTCCCGCTGTTCTCCAGGGAGCCACTGGAATGCAGGGTAGCCGTGGCTGCCAGGTCCTGCAGGCACAGGAGAAGGCTCTCAGCTGCTCAGGGAGTTTAGGGGCAGGTGAGGGGGATCAGAAATTACCCACCACAGCAAGGGTCCTACCAACCACTGGGTGTTGATGCCACTATTTTATACTACTTGTATTTACAGTCCATATAAAACCCATGTGCTGTGGTTACATTATATTAGGCTGATAAATGTGTTTAACAATAAACCTCAGCTGAAACATCTCAAGAGCCACACTCCAGCTGAACCAGGCTGAGAGTCAAAAGGTTTAGGTGTGAATGTTGTCTGAGCAAAAATGTGTTTCACCTTTCACAAGTGATTTGGTGTCCATTTTTTGTCTGAACAGAGGGTATGTTCCTCACCCTAAAATCATGGAGAGTTAGTGTTGATGAAGAAAGGTCCCAATGCTGTGAGGTGAATTGCTGGAGAGGTTGATGAGCCTGTGGTGTGTAACCAAGATTATCTTTCAGTAATTGTGGTAATCTGCAAGGGTGCCTGGAGCTGCAGAGTGGGATTTGATAAATATAGAAGCATAAGTTCAAGACAGTACTCTCTGAAAATCAAACGTTAATAATGATGTTACTTTGAAAGGATTCGCGTATTTCAAATGAAACTGATATCAAATGTTTATAGATTTGCTTTGCCTTTAAATAAGTTTCATTTCTTTTTTGTACAGCTCCCCCCATACAATGAAACAGTTTCATGTGGTATTAAATCCACAGGTAAGTTTCATGATGGTAAGAAATCAAGATTTTTTTTTTTTCTCCCTCAAACTTAAAGGTTGTGACACTTTCCATAGATTTGCTGCAACCTCTCTTTAAAACTTGCTCAGCAGGTATAGATGCATTTATTAGGCAGGTTGGTTTTTGAATTGCTTTATTGAATGACATCTGTGAGAGGTTTGGAAAATACTGCGTTGAGCTTCAGCTAATTGCAGTGGACGTGCTTATTCCTCCTTGAGTGCTGCCACACAGTCTTGATGTCTTGCTGAAACATTGTAGGATGTAGCTGTGAAAATGTGGGGTGAATAAATAACTCATAGTGTTCAGCAAAGAGCATTTTCTGGCAGTTGCAGCCTGAAGACTCCTCTGTTCTGTGTTCCTTCTGACTCTTGTTTCTGTCTGGCTCAGCTGTTTTTCTGGAGAATCCCTTTTTTTTTTCCTTCTCTTTTGATGAAAGTGTGATTCTTGATGTAAAAATACCTTACAGAGTTCCCATTTTAAAGCTGCAACATTCACACATCTACTCTGCCTCAACCCATACACCTCCCTGCCTCGCCTTGCTCCATGGGTACAAGGAATGGACAGTTAGGTAGGAGTTCCCCTGTCATCATCACTGTATGGTTTAAACCAGACTTTCACAGTAAATTACTGTTTGGGATTTTCCCTCAAGCAGAGGGGAGAGCAAGGGAGCTGAGAGTTACCCAGATGTATATGAGAATGACATCAGATCTCCTTCAAAATAATGCAAGTATCTGACTGGACATTTCTCAGAAGTACTCAAAAGAGGACCAAAATGCACTTAGTAATGTTAAAGAACACCTGATGCTTGGAGATTTTGGCCTTGCATTTAAAAGCCAGTGATAAAAAAGGATCTCAGGTCCCATTTGAAAGCAGATAGGCGACACATCTGACAATTCAGGAGCTTTATTTAGCAAAGAGCAGTTTTAGGACCCTGAGTAGTTTTAAGTGGGAGTTAGAAAGGTTCTTTAAAAAGACCACAGGGTGTGAATTGTCTGTTGGTGCCAGGGATGTCCAGTCATATATTGCTTTGTCTTAACTACGGATTTGAGTTTTGTTCTTTCAGGCTGGGATTTTAATGTTCACAAGCCATACAGAAAGTTGGTTTGTGCAAATGTTTTTCAGATCATTCCTAGACCTTGAGAGAACCCCTCCCAGCCCTGAGATTAGGTAATGACACAGCACCTTAGGTTTTGCTTGAAAAATGTCTTTAACAAGCTTGCACTGTACTGTGCATGCACATTATCACTGTGATGGCTGCATAAGAAGCTGTGGAAACTGAACTGGAATGTTTGCTTATGCAGAATATTTATAATTATGACGCACACCATGTTGTCATATAGTCTAGTTTTTTTCTGTACTTATCCTGAGTATTTAACTTTTATTAGGGAATTAGAATATCTGTTAATACTTACTAGGAGCACTCAAATCACAGCTGAAGCTTTAATATTCCAAATTCTGCCCAGACTAATTAGTGCTGTGTATTCACAGATTTTGGTGTTGTACATAGACTGCCCTTGGAGCATCTGTTGATCCTTGTTTCAATATGCATCCCATGTTGTACATGACAGATAGATCTGTTTCAGTCCATTCATAAATAGAGCTGTGAACTGCATTGAAACAAAGATGCCCTGAAGCAAAGTGGAAAGTCAAAACAAATAGAAAAAATTACCACTCATTTTTTCTCAAATGAACTTGACACAGTCTTACAGCAAATGAGCTTCTGCCAGTCCTTCCCTAGACTAACTATACAGTAGCTAGTGGTATTTATTATTCTAATCCTGCTATAAGGTGTAAAACTTAATCCCTCAGCTGTAATTTCCTAATTTGTATGTTAAATGCTGGAATGTCAGTGGTGCTCTTGGCAGGATTTTACCCTATGCTGTTCATTGTACCATAACTCTTCAGGGCTGTATTTTGGTTTCTGCTCCCCACTTGCCCCAGGTGGGCTCTTGTGATTGTTCACTGTATCATAAGCTAATAAATTCACCAAAATTAGAAAAAAATTTGCTCACTTGGATTATTGTTTTTGCTGGATTAGCTTTGGGTAACCAAGTACTGGGAGTTGTTGGAGAGAGAGCAGCAGAAGGAGGTGCCAAGGTGGCAGCTTTTACTTTGGGCTGTGGCAGACTGGACTCTCCCATGAAGGGAAAACACATTCTTTGTTTTGAAGCCATTATTATTTTTTTTTAACTGGGATTTTGGAAATGAGATCACAGATTATTTGAACTGATAGGGCTTTGAAATGTGCCCAGTAATTGATTCTTATCGAGGTTGGAGGAATATTAGGTGTTACCAGTTGTTGCTTGTGCTTTATGGTGTTGTAACAAAGGGTGAAGAATCAGCTCCTGGTTCATGTTTGATTTAACAAGTTGCTCCACCAGCAGGTGAACTAATGAGGAATAGTTTTGTTGTGGATTTGGGTCCCATATCCCTTAACCCCCTCTAAACTTTGCATTAGCTGTGAATGAAGCTGTGGCTGGTTTGGAGCTGTGTGTGCAGGGACAGGCCAGGCAGTGCAGCACTGACAGCCCCCCTGGAGCAGCAGGTGATTCCTGACATCTCCCAGCCCTTCCCTCTTCAGTGGATATCAGGCAGCAGCTTCCCACCTCCCTGTCTCTGGGCTGCTGGTTTTTATTACAAGAAACTCCAGCCCTCTCTGGAGTTGGTGACGACTCGTCAGCGATTGCAGAAGTGGCTGGTGACTGGCAGCCAGGCAGGCAGGGTGTTAGAAAAGCCTTTCTCACAGGGAGAGGTGAAGAGAACTTATTGAAATTCAGGCTCTTGTTAAGATGATTTAGAGAAACCAGATGTGTGTGGAGAGTTTTTGCCCTTTTTCATTTTTAAAAAGACTCCTTTAGTCTGACTGGCAACAGGATTGAAATCGATACGTGATGTGTTTACTTCTCAGTTACTAGATCAAAGCAGAAAAGCAATTAACATCAGTATTATTATCATTTATTCATAATATGTTGGTATTGCATGTGTAATTCAGAGCTCAGCACCCATTGAATGCTTGTTAATCTTCATTTCATATTGAAAAATAGTACCCTGTAGATTCTTGGTTCTTTCACATTTTGCTTAAAGAGGAAATGTTTATCAGCAGACTTTTCTAGAAAGTAACGGGAGAGTTTCAGAGCTGTTATGTTCACAGTCACGTATCAAAACAATCCCCACTAGGTTTGTCCTCCCATAGGATTATTTCCTTAGGTGTGTGAATAATGTCTTTTCCTTGGGAACTGTTACTTTGCTTTTTGTTGTGTTTAAAACAAACAAACAAACAAACCACTTTATTTTTATTGAGTGTGTGGTGCACTTAAAAATAGTCATTTATTGACATGTCAGATGTAGTAAGTTGCACAAAATCTTGAAAATTCAGTGGTGTATCCCCTTTATATTCCTTTGGAACCAATATCTGGTGTTATTTGGTTCTGTAGTTACAGTCTTAAAAATTTGAAATGTGTGTTTTTAACCCCATCTTTGAGGAAACACAAAATATTTAAATTAATATCTTTGGAACAGTAACATAGGTATCATAAAGAGCTACAAAACTTCAAGGACTAAAATTTGAGCTTTCCTTTAGTGTTCCTGAAGCTGTTTCATTAATTTTACCTGGTTTTTTGATAGTTACTGAGTTGTAACTGAAGTATTCAGTGTTAATAGTTAGCACACATGCATTATAAATTATTAAATTCCATGAAACTGCACAACTTTGGACTGACAATATTTTGGGATACTGCAGCCTTCCATGAGAATATTTCTTAGTGTTTCTTTAAAGTTCCAGGGTAAATAAATAAATCAATAAAACAAAAAAGCCTGTTCATGTATTTTCAGTACTTCTCATATGTACAAGTTGAATGCTGACTTATGTTGAGTATCAGTTGTATTCCTTGTCAGAAAAACCTGGAGTCGTATCTATAATATTCTTACATAGTAATAAATTCAATTCTGATAAAATAAATTATCGATGAGCCTAAAGTTTCAAAACTTGTAATTTCAGTGTTTCCATGCAATTAATGAAAATGTTTTTCAGTTATTAAGGATTGTGTTAAAACTTTGATTATGATAAATCACACCAAGAAAACCAAATCCAGCCCCACAAAAAACAAACTTCACATGTGGAAAAGGTAAAGAGGTGAGGCTTGGATTTTCTAATTGTCAGTGGGAAAGACTGGCTTTAGAAGAAGTGTCAAGTTAAACATTGCACCATATTTTATAGGCAATTATCCAGTAATTAACTTAATGCAGATTATTCCTGAAGTTATTGGGCTTTAATAGTTTCTCTTAAGAGGTGAATTTAATAGGGGTTATTTGCAGGGGCAGTGCAGTGATCTGGAAAATTACATACTCTGTGTAAGAAAACCTGAATCATGCTCATGTCTTTAAGAAAACGATGCTTTGAAATGCTCTTCAGGATTGAGGTTAAGGATTACTTTTGTTCGAGGGAATGTAGTTGAGTTACAGAGAAATAGCGAGGGTTTTTTCTTGCTTCTGTAGCTTCTTGATTTGCTGTAATTCTCTAATTGAGATCTGCCTTCTCTTGTCCAGGGGAAGAGTATCAGAGAATTGAATTTGGTGTTAACGAAGTTATTGAGACTCAGTCATCTGTCCTGAATAACACCGACTACAGTATTTCAAGTACTCTGAATCCTCAGGCTCCAGAATTCATTCTCAGTTGTGCACCTGCTCAGAAACCCCCTGATGATGCTCTCAGCGAAACCAACTACAACTCCATCGACTGCCAGTTCAGCGATCCCGGCCTGGCTTTGGACAGCGGCTCCAACGCTGAAAACGACGGCTTGTCCGGAGGCCTCGGGCAGAGGGAGCGCAAAAAGAAGAAGAAAAGACCCCCTGGATATTACAGTTACCTGGAAGATGTCAGTGATGGCATGGCCCCCCCGGAGGCGCTGGTGAACGGCCACGCCAACTCCTCGGGACTCCCCGCGGAGGACACGGAGCTGGCAGGAGACATCCCCTCCCTGGCCACGCCAAGGACTTGCAACAGCCCGGACAACTCCGTGGACTTCATGCCTGGAGCTGTCCCTGCTGGGGCCGTTCCCAGCGCTCTGGACAATGCCAGGACTGCCGGGCAGCCCGAGGTATGCCGAGTTCCTAATTCTGAACAGTTTTGCCTCCCCTCAGAGGCCGTCAGAGATAGCCCCCTAAGGACAGCTGGTGTACAGTCTTATGCTGGTACTGATACTACTGAAAGTCTTGGCGTTACTAATGGACAAACACTTGAATCCTCTGGTGAGGACACAGCTGCCAATGGGGTAGAATTGCACACTGTGGAAAGCACTGACTCAGACCAAGCTAAGCCTGAGGAAGCTTCACCTACTACTGAGGCAACAGTCCCGGTTGCAGGATCAGTCCCCGTTAATCAGCCTGCAAAATCGTGGGCTAGTCTTTTTCACAATTCCAAGCCCTCTGCTTCCACATCTGTGGTGTATGTTGAGACTAAGTATACCCCTCCTGCCACATCTCCTCTGGTCCCTGAAAAACAGGTTGAAGTCAAAGAGGGGCCTGTTCCAGTTTCAGAGGATCCTGTAGCCATAAAGATTGCAGGTATAGTTAACACACGAGTGGATGTTACACTGGAAGGGTATTAGCTCTGCTTGTAAACAGGAGTGTGCAATGCTCATAGTAAACGTTCCTCTGGTGATGTTCCCCTGGTAATAAGACAACTGTTCAAACACTGCAGGAAGGTTGTAATTTGAATAAACTAGTTTTGTATCCCTTTGAGTAAACATTCCAACCAGGGATTGCCATGTCGTTATCCCAGATACGGTAAAACTGTTGCTACTTGTCAAACAATGTGTTTAAATGATCTGTGATTTTAAATAGGCTGGTTGTGTTCAGCTCTTTGCTGTTGTAACAATGAGAATAGGTTTATTCTGAAAATGGTGTTACATTATCCAGTATTTACTACTTTGTAGTGCATTCCATTACAACAAGAGTATTAATGCTGAAATTCCTGGACACTGAACAGCAGCTGAAGTGTATCATCTAAACAGATCTTTCTTCAGAAATTCTAATTCAGGAAATGTCATCTTTACTGATGTGCTGTTTGAGAGGCCTGTCCTTCCAATTTTGAAGACTTATCCTTAACTGTTATAAACAATACAATTTTATCCAGAAACAATGGTAGCTATTGCATGCTCAAGACTAACCATAAGGAGCTGTCCAGAGGGTACATCAGGAAAGGGAATGAGTGATACAAAGGCTTTCACTGCTGATCCTGTCATATTTTGTTTCTAATGAGATATGCTAGAAAATGCAGGAGATCATTTCTGCAGATTCGCTCAGAAAACACCCAAGTTTTCCCAGCTGGTTGCATTTTGTGTCATTAATTCATGAATGCTGGGACAAAAAGTAATTAATTTAAATCTGTGAATTAGTCTGTACATGAAAAGGCTGGTGAAAAATCCTACCATTTGTGCTACAAACCAATTTACAACTGCAGTGATGTTTTGAGTGGGACAGTGATGTTTTGAGTGGGACAGCTTCGAGTCAGATTCCTGCTCTGACAGAAGCTGACCTGGAGATAACTACTCAGAATGGCCAGAAGTAACTCCTGCCTCTCCTCCCCTCCTTACTCAGAACTGTCTGTTGAGAGAAAAGCTGTCAGAATAATTTGTAGTTTTGTACTTTCCACTTAGGTGTCACAAACACAATTGACTGTATTAAAAAAAAATATGTATAAGCAGGTGATTCCAGTTTGTCTGATGCCAGTACATGTGGAGAACGATGAAGTCTTGAAATCTCAAGCTGTCCTTTAGTACTGACTTTTAACTTAAAGCTGTTTTGTGACAACCACACAGCTAAAACTGCTTGCCACAAATGGGAAAAGTTTTTTATCTTGTCCAGGTTGCTACAGCTGTAAGTTAACTTCCTAGACTTTTACTGTTTCTGTACTATTTTTTACCACCAGGTGGGAGCAGAGCTTTTTATTTTGTCTTTAAATGTAGTAAAATAGCAATGTCATTTTAATGCAAGTTTTCTTTTCCACCTTCACTGTTAGCTCTTTGGGCAGGGGGATAATCTGAGTGTAGATAAAAGGAATTCAGCTGCTCATTGTAGCTGATTTAAAAGGTAGGAGTTATGTTGCTGCAATTCCTGTAATTCACATGCTGCTGATTTTGGTATAAAAGATTTACTTGAAGATCTGAATGTCACATAAATGTAATCAGTGCTTTGCTCTGTGGAAAAAGGAGATTTTTTTTTTTTGTTTTCCATTCTTGAGTATTCTCTGTCCTGTTTGGAAAATAGGTAGCTCAGTGCTTTGTTCAGCACCCACACTCATGGTTGGTAGAATTAAAGAAAAGGATCTGGAAGGTTTAGGGAGTTGAGGAATGTCCTCAGTAAAGCTGAAGAAGAAGAAGCTTTCTCCCAGTGTGTGTTAATACCAATTCACATGGAAAAGAAGGAAGATAACTCCAATTCCATTGTTGCTGTTGAGGACTTGATGGAAATGCCAGTCCCTGGGCATTACTTCTCATGAAGCAGTGAAAAATAGAAGGAAGGTTTGAAAACCACGTAGGCAAACACGGAAAATTTGGATTTACTTTGTCTCAGATTGCTGGAGTGACCACAGATGTAAATTCACATGGTTCCCTGTTCTCCCAAGACTAGTGAAAAACAAAGGAATTAGTTCAAATTGTAAGAAAGGTGAGAGTTGTAAGAAATTTTCTTATTGTAAAGTTAGGTAAGTGCTGGAGCACTTAAGGAGTTGTGGAGTGGAGACATGCAAGGTTTGGGGGGGTTATAAATGACTTCATAAATGTAACCTGTTGCATTCTTGCAGATACTGATTTTGGGTAGGGTTATCCCAGTGTTGTTCTGGGATTTTTTAATCATTGTCCAGTTTGAAGAAAGATGGGAGTGAGAGACAAAATGTTCTCCAAATAGGTGCCTCAGGCTGAGTGTTCAATATCTAAGGTGTTATCTAAAATTCCTGGGTCTTCAGCCTGGAGACTGTCCACGTGCTTTCTCCATTGGTAAACTTTGGACTTGCACTGATAAGGAAATAACCTTTTTTAGAAAAAAACCTGACAGGTATTAGTAATAACACGACCTGGTGAATGAAATGTAGCAAAAAGTGTTTTGTTTGCCAACAAAAATGTCTAAACAGGTTAATACTGTTGTAGATCTGTTCTCAAATCAAGGCCTTGTTTCACAAGTCATTGCCCTCCAAAGGGAACGTGAGTTCTTTTAGATCAATAACTTGGGCTTTCTAACAGGTTTTGAAATTTTAAGATGGTTTTCTCATGGTTATAAAGTGTATTTTTCTTCTGATACTCTTGTAAAAATTCTTAAGTCATTGTGTAAATGTTAGATGGAGATGTGGTATTGAATGCTGTACACAAAAGTAATTCTTTGTTAAAAGAAACAAAAATCACAGTAATTGCACTGCACACTGCTACAGAGCAACTTTATGACCACAAGAGGATGCTAAAGGTCCTAATAATATCTTTATTTAGATTGTGCAAAAATAGGGAAGAGTTAATTTCAAAAGTTACTGATAGACATTCGAAATATAAATTTTTTCCTCTATTTTTATCCTAATTTCCAGCAGTGCTTAGTTGTATTAACAGAAAGCTTGTATGTTTGCACAACACAGTTCAAATGTTGCTGTTTTATTAATATATCCTGAAATACTTAAACAGTAATTTAATAACTATTTCAGAACTCACAGGGAGTTTTCATCTACATCTCTGCTACGTTTTCCGTTTTCCATTTTTTTTTGTCTGCTCTTTCAGCTGCCATGTTCTTTGTGTAATAGATGACTGATTTAAAAATATCCTATTTTTTGGCATTTTTATTTGGTTAGAACTGGTGGTATCTGCAGGAAATACAATCTTATAGGTAAGGAGATGATTTGGAAGTAGAAGGACATAGATATTGTTTGCAGTTCTGCCACCTCTGATTAGTTATGGCTTTGTGCCTCTGTTTTTCCACCTATGTCATGTTATTTTGTGTGTCCTTCTAGTGAACAACTCAAACTCTTTAGGTTTGTGGTAGACAATTGCCATGTTCATTTTCATCTCTTTATTCTGACTTGTATACCTCTTGTCCTTACTTTGAAAATTTAAAATACAGCAGCTCCAGTATTTGCTTTTAAACAGTTTTCATTTAGGGACATAAATAACAGGTCAGGATTCCTGGAAAAACTCCCTGTGTTGCTCCTGTTTCATAACTGAGACACAGTTATGTGCAGTGGTTTCTAAGTTTTAATCCTGGGTCATTGCTGAAGGTTTTGGAAGCAGGAAAACAGTAGGAATTACATTATGTAAGGCTGTTACCTCGTAGATTTTGCAAGTCTTAAACCAGTAAATAAAACGGCCTGTTCTGAAGAGCACAGTAACATCTATCTGTCTGCACTGAGGTGTTCTTGTTGTAAGACAGTGGATGGTGAAACTTTTAAACTGGGACTGCTCTGTCATCTTCATCTCCCTTCAAAGCTGAAGAATTTGGAAATACTTCCTAAAACTGGGGACCAGTGCTGCCAGCTAATGGGATTTTATATCTATGTTATCTATCTAAATAAAACTGTCTGGTTTTAGGGAAACAAAAATAAAACCAAATAGGTCTTGTCAGTTTTGAAATGGCAGTGGTTGGTTCTTGTACCAGCATCCTCCTGACCTGAATTCCAGGATGTCTCCGGTGGAAGAAACACGTCTAGTTTGAGATTCAAGCAGTGCTCAGCTGGAGTGAAAATGATTTGCTGAAGTTTCTGGGAATCTTGTACATTGAACTGAATTATTTTGCGGTGCAGCAACAGGTGCTTGTTTGATGGCCACATGTGAGTTTTGTTGATGCTCAGTTTACTGTTTCTCATCCTGCAGAAATACTGGAAAGTGTAAGGCTAATACATAAACCAGTGTCTTTGCAACCCCGAGGGCTGATCAACAAAGGAAACTGGTGCTACATCAATGCTGTATCCTTCCTTGGGAAAAAAATAATGCTCTTAGGTTAAAAATTGTGTGTTATATTTGTCAAAGTTTTTCTGGATTGCTCTGGTAAGTATTTTATAAAGGTGTTTGTCTTCTGCTACTGTGGTTAAGATGTGAGGTGTAGCAGCTAAAAATCCAAGGGGAATTGGGATCCTTGAGCCTCATGTCCAGAGTTCCCCTCCAATCCTGTTTGCAGTTGTTACCTGTGCCGAAATATTGCAGGACTGTAACTTTCTCCTGATTGAAAGCCCTTTAATTTCTTGCTGTGTTTGCTCTGTGCATCAATTTAGGAGGTTATTTATCTTTTGTACTTGAAGTAACTGTCCTGACTCTTGGGCTTTGTCTTGGCTGTTGGTAGGTGGATCATTTGAGTTTTTGTTGAACAGGCTGTCATTGTTATGTTAAAAATAATCCTTTTGCACATTGTATTATGGAGGATGAGCCTGCTCTTAATGTACTGGAATTGTATTCTCCTGCAAAAATAACTTTTACCCTGGGGAGCAGAGATTGTCCTTCAGTGCTGTTTTATAATATGAATAAAAATCATGAATGATTTTTAAAATGATCTCCTATGTTAGCAAGGCTCGCTGTGAGTGACAGTTGGGATGCCCCAAGTGCTGGTACTGCAAGGGAAAAATACCAAGACAATTTCAAGACTGATCATGACAGAGCCTAATAAACTATTTCCAGACCAACAATTGTGCTTTAAACCTTAAGCTTGTATCTTATATAACCAGTTGTGCATTCAGCTGTTACATATACATATTAGCTCCCATTTTTTCACTCTTGAAGTGTTACATGGGAATTTATTATTCAGTTTTTGCACACTGTAGAGATCAAATTAATCTCTCTCTGTAGCTGTTGAGATCGATGCCTTTTTTGTTTTTTCCCTCCAGTCTTTTAATGCATTTTCTTTGTTCACTGGTCTCACCAAGTAGGTGGTTTTAAACTATTACTTTCCCACTGTACTCTGGAGTTTCACTGGTTGCTCCCAACTCTTGACACTGCAGAATGTCTCACATCACAGAGGGTTACTTTTGGTTTGGGTACAGGGGTGAATCACCAGCTTTGATGTAAAATCTGTCAGCTTCTTCCATTCTTCTCAGAAAACATCTTACAGGTTATCTCTTGCCAATTTTCAAATTGTTAATTTTATAAAGTCTTTCCTGTGAAGGTTCTTTTCCTCTCCTGCACCTGGGCAAAATGTTTTCCTCTTTGCCATCATTAAAATGTCACTGAAGTGTTTTTTCAGTGTAACTTCTGCACATCATTGGTTAGTGTTGTGATAAAACTTCACCTTCTTTTCCAGTGTTACTGGATTGATTGACATAATAAAAATACAGAGTTTGCATAGAATTATAAATTAATGTTTTGTTAATGTACAGATGAATTTTCTGCTTATTTCCTTAATGCCACTGCACAGACCCTGCAGGCCTTGGTTGCTTGCCCTCCAATGTATCATTTAATGAAGTCCATTCCAATGTATTCCAAATCACAGAGGCCCTGCACCTCAACTCCAATGCTAGACAGTTTGTAAGTAGCTTGGGAAAAGGGAATGGAAGTCTGGGATCTGACTGAGCTCATTCAGAAATAACAAATGATTGTTGCTGAAACTTGATCTGTGCCCAGAAGTCTCTCCTGTGTGTTCTTTGGGTTTCATTGCGGTGATCAGGTTGATTTTTATGTCTTTATTCGGACTTGGTGATGATATTCTGTTTTTTGGCAGTCGTAATGACAATGATCTGATTTTATTGTTTGTCCTTCTAAGTCTGAACTTGCTGCTCACGTGGAGTTGTTCCTTCCTTTCTGTTGCAGTGTTCGTTTAATGAATGAATTCACTAATATGCCTGTACCTCCTAAAGCAAAGCAAGGTGAGTGGGCATAGGGGCAGAAAAGTCATAAAGTCATTTTTCTTATTGGTGATTCATGTCAAGAGGTCAGAGATGTTACACTTTAATTTTTTTCTTCAATGTAAAAGTGCAATAAGAATAGTTTTTGTTGAAAGTTCACTTAATTGTTCAGATTTCTTCTCAGAACATGCCCTTTCTAACAAAATCATGTAAAAAATACTCGCTGTATTTTACTCCACTTCCTTCCTTACCTATTTCCAGCTGTTTGGTTTATCACATTACTCAGTTCTATCATCCTTCCTTAAATCCTGAACTCTCACATTCATTTGGAGCAAAAGGGGCCAGAACAGGCCTGTTGAGCAGTTGGAGATTGCCTGCAGGAATACTATCCTGGCTTCTGGTTCCAGAGTGAAAACTTTAGGAGTATGATTCCTACTAATGCAGATTTAGGCTCAAAGATGATCATGTAGTGAGGAATAGAATGTTTTTTAATGCAAATAAAGTATTCTACAAGATTTCAGGGTTTTTTAATCCTTATTTTAAATCAAGTCTGTTGTATTACAAACTTACAGAAACAAGCACATTCCTGAAACTTTTTTTATGTAACACGATAAGAAAATATCACAAGGAGCTGGTTGTTCCAGTGATTTCCAAACAGTTCAGACATTTCTGTGGTTTCTTTCTGTAAAACAAATCTCACTGGCTTATGCAACTTATTATACTTCTAGGTCATTTCATTGTGTAGTTCTCAAGTACAATTTCGAGGCCTTGTATTGCCATTAGATGGAACATTCTGTCAAACTATTTCTTGTTTGTTTTTTTTTTTCTTCAGTGAGGAAAAATGATCTGTTAGAATTGCAAATACACAAAAGCTTTTCAGAAGTGTTCTTCGAGTACAAAAATTTAAATAGAGCTATTATGTTCTTTTATGATGGCTGTGGATATTCTTGTTAATCTTCAGACTGTTTATTAACTTCTCTAAAGTATCCGTCAGTCTATGCAGGATGATGTGAGATGGTTTTTTTAAAAAAATGTTTACAGATAGGAGTACCAAGATTAGAATAAAACTATTAGTAAAAAACGCTGAGCTCCAAAATCTAGTGATGTGTGAAGAGAATATTAATGTATAATGTAGAAAAACTTCTCTGTATTGTTATTTATATTTACTTCTCTTTTGCTTTGCAGCTTTAGGTGATAAAATAGTGAGAGACATCCGACCAGGAGCTGCCTTTGAACCGACCTACATTTATAGACTCTTGACGGTTATAAAGTCGAGTCTGTCAGAAAAGGTGGGACTTAAAACCCTTGACTTCTGTCGTGGCATTGCAGGGCAGTCCCTGTCATTGAAACTGTGTGAAGCCACACAGCAGAGTCAGTGCTCAAACATCACGAAAATCAGCTAATTGATAGCTCGTTATAACGAAGCTCAACTGCCTTGGGACTTGAATTAGTTAATTATAGGTTGATATGTCAGAATAAATTGCTATTGGAATGGAACATCTCTTTTTATAATGAAGTTACCAATGGATTGACATTTAAGAAATGAGCAGTTGTTCATTTTTGTGAGGGGTTCAGCCTGAAATGGCAGAAGGTCCAAATACTGTTTCAGGTTTAGTTTCAATTTAAAGAAAAGGTAGTGGTTAAAACCATCTTTTGATTTAGCTGTGGCTTGACAGCAACTCTTAATAGTGGTTTTAAAAGAGAAAAAATTGCATGTAACACGTTAAATGGAATTTGTGATGAGGAGAATGCAAAAATGCCATGTGAAGTTTATGGGTGTATTTACTGCTTAGGGCAGTTTGGGTTGAGCTGGTTAAAAATGAGGTGCTGTTATAGTAAAATTTAAACTTTATTTGACATTATAACTTAGGCTGCATAGTTGCTAAATAAGCTAAATTAATAGGAGAAAGCTGGATGGTCCATGTCATGAAGCTTCTGTTAAAAGAAAACCATGAAAATGTCATAGAATGAATTGAGAAAAATGTTTTATTCAGGGCAGGCAAGAGGATGCTGAAGAATACTTGGGATTTATCCTCAATGGACTACATGAAGAAATGCTGACCCTCAAGAAACTTCTCTCTCCACATAATGAAAGTTAGTGGATACTTTTTCCCTTGGTAGAAAACAATTTATTTCAAATATTGTGTTTGTATGGTGATTCTGTAACACAGATCAATGGTGAGAGTAGATGTTGAGATGGGGTAGAGTGCCATGGTTTGGGGGACTCAGACATTAACAAGTAATATTTTGTTAAAATCTGGATAAAATGAGCCCCTTCTGTTGTTTATAAATGATCTGAAGTTACTGGGTGTTTAGAAGAGCACCATCATTCAGTAAATGCTCTGAATGACAATCAGTCATATACCTGGTCCTCCTAAGCAGTAAAATTCTATATTACAAATTGTTTGAGGTTAACTTGAGTTGATTGGTCTTGTCTTAAGCATAGGTATGTTTGTCATTCATAATACCTGCAGTATCAGTTGTTTTCTGGGGTTTTGGCTCTCTCAGTAGGAACTCAAAATAGATCAGTGTCTTTTTTCACTGATCTTTAAACCACTGTTAAAAATCTTCTTTTTGAAGTGGAAAGTTCTAGACTAATGTCTAATTTATATCCAGTATAAACCAGCATGTTAAACGATTTTAAAATTCCTACTGACAAAGTTGGTGAAGAATTTTTATTTGGAAGAATTACCAGAATTTGTATGCAGAGTAAAATGCCATTTTATTTTATAGTGACTTTATGGTTAAGCCCCCTGTTAAAAATGAAACAAAATACTGTGAGCCTTAGCCAAGTATAGAGTTAAGATCCCTAGTTATCTGATTTCTCTTTAGTTGGGTAAATTTTTTAAGATTTAAAATGGTCATTCCACATTTTGTTCTGTAGCTGTGTGCAGTTTATAGCCTCCTGACTCGGGCACTTGCAGAGAAAATATTTGCTAAGCTTTGGCTTCCCTGTACAGAGAAGGAGTTGTATTTAATAATGGCTTAATTATGTTTCCAGAATAACACTTGACTTTCTAATTTTCTACCCCATAAATTTACTGCTAAAAATATATCAAACTTTGCTAGAAAACTCCATTTATTTACATACAGTCATCAGTGAGCTGGGTTCTGTTAATACAGGATGTGTCCAGCCAGGAGCGAGCCTGGAAAACGCTCGTTCTCTTTCATTTATCAAATCATTTGATCCATGGAAGCATTTTATCCGTGGAAATTATTATTAATATTATTATTTCTGTTGGGTTACTTGCCCTTCAAATTCTTTATCTGTCTACTTGTTTTATTTGTAAAGAAACTCACCGTGGTGTTTTTTTTGTCTTGGTCCCTGGAAGAACTCTCGGTGTCCAACGGCCCTGAGGCTCAGGCTGTTCCCGAGGAGGAGGAGCAGGAGGAACAAGGGGAAGGCAGTGAGGACGAGTGGGAGCAAGTGGGACCTCGCAACAAGTCATCAGTCACTCGACAGGCTGACTTTGTGCAGACTCCAATCACTGATATTTTTGGTGGTCACATAAGGTACAGTACTTTGGCCTAGGGATTGTTGAGTCTAAAGCTTTTGAAGTGTCAGAAGAATAAATTTTGAGAGGCAAAGCAGTGCATGTAGAGAAAATAATATGGAATAATAATGTCTGCCTAATTTTTGTGTCCTCTGAGAATTCTTGACTTGTATTTATAAATAAGGATACTAAGAGATAATGAGATTTACAAAGAGTTAAATCTTGTGAGTAAAAGAAGGAAATAAAGTAAAAAATTGTGGGCTTTTAGTCCTTTAGACACTTAATGCTTCCCAGAGAAAGTTCTGTTTAATAGTTAATAAATGTTAAAGGCAAAAGGAGTCTGGAAAAATATAAATTGCTACAAGATGTTACTGGAATGAAAAGAATGTGGGATACATTACTTATATTCAGGTCTGATACCAGATGAAGGCAGAAAGTAGATACTGAAAGAATATTTTTTGGAAAGGAAGGCTCACGACTTGTTTGGAGAAATGTGTAATTTAAAATGAAAGCAGAGTAAACACTTGCTAAAAACATACTCAAAACAAAACTGCTAGACTTGAAGAATTATTTTTATATTGGAGACAGACACTTAATTGCTGGTGTTTGACTCTCTGTGTTGCCAGATATTCAGTCTAGAAGTGTGAATAATGTGGGCTAGTGCCTTCTTCCTGTGAAATGCTCTGAAATTATTTAGTCTTCTGGGTTTTGAGCCAGACAGCTGGCAAATAATATTATATTTTCCTTAGAATTTGACAGACAGATGTTTGTAGATATTAATGGAATTCTACATCGATGGCTCACGTACCCAAGGGGTTGTTAATACCTTAAGTGTATGTATTGTGGTCAGAATTGTTTAGATCTCCACTTGACTCCATTAGTTTTTGCATTAAAATACTGAGTGAATGCTGTGGAAATCACCAAAAATGATGTAAAGCAAAGGTGATACTGAAACAAAAGGCAAAAACATGCACCAAAGGTGCAATCCAACATCTGTTCTTTGCTGTCACCACATCCACTGTACTTGTCCCTCACACCAGGCCAGACAATTTGCCAAAGGAACAGCATCCCATGGGATGTTGGAAAGCCTCATCCTCTGAGGCTGAGGGTGGAGATAGGAAGGACTGAATGCAGAAATGGCAGCAGAATTCCACTGAGTGAAATCATCAGAAGCTGGAAAAACGGAATGGAAAAAGCAGCCAGGAGAAGATGGTTTGAATTGGCATCTTTAGGCTTGGGAAAGTTTTGAATTGGGAAGCTTAAGGCTTGGGAATCTTTGGGCTGGCTTTGTAAGGCTTGAGTTTATAAAATACCTGTTGGGCAGACAGCCCATAAAGTCTGCCTTAGCAATGTGAGACTTAAATGTGCCAGTACAAAGTTTTCCTGAAAAATTCTTGATGTAGAATTCTTGCAGTGCCCAATTAATTATTCATTGCAAATGATGCATTTTCCCTTGTCCAGTTGAGATTTGTAGTTGTCCTGATAAGGGAGGGTGTTACAGAAAAATCTTAATCCAGAAGAGGTTTTGCTCTCATACCAATTCCTGCTTATCTTTGTGAAGAAAATGTTCTAAAGAAATACTGCAATATAATTTCTAATAATTTTTTTGGAAAAAGCTTTTCATAACATTCTCTTTTGAGAATATTACTACTATTATTCATTAAATTTTAATACCTGGTCATGAACACAGTTGGAGCTGTTAACATTTTTCTCTGGATTATTGCTCTCAATAATGGTTTGCTTAAAAAAAAATAAATTAGGAAGTGTATCCCAAAGCAGGGAAGGGTTTGTTGATTGAAACACTACTCTTACCATGTGCTGAAGGTTTTGTCCTTTAACACAGCCAAGGAGGAAGTATTAAACTGAAATAAAGATGCTACTGTTTTCCATACCCTCCCTTTCCTCTAAAGGATATATATTTGCCAATATAAAGCTGCACTGGCTGTTTCTGTTGGTGCTTCAGGGCTTTACCTGAGTCAGAGGGTTTTTTTGTTTAACCTACATTAATCTGAACATTAACATTTCCTACCTGACCTGGAGACATTCCAGCATGGCCACATGGATCAGGGCTTTGTGTTAATTATAATTGTGTTTTCAAGCCTTGTCATGCATAACACCGTAATAAATGAATAATTTCTTTGGCTGTATAAAGGCAGGTTTTTGTAGAAATTGGAGCTTTTTAATGCAGGTACTACCTTCAAAATGAAAGGAAAAAAAAAAATATCTTCATTTTTTTTCAGTGGAGTTTAAGAAAAATCGAAAGTCAGGAAGATCCACTTAGTGCAGTGAGTTCTGTCCCATTGCACAAAACAGTGGTCACCAAGCCAGGCTACTTAAAAGCTGCAACTGAACACACTTCAAACAAAAACAAAACCCCAAAAAACACAGCAAACATGTACTCCTGCCCCAGGGCATTCCCTCTGCTAGTTTTCCAAAAGGCTCCAATTTTATGTACAAAGGAGGAAGTACATGGAAGAAGTCTGGACACAGAAAATGATGGGAGGAAAAGGAAATGCCAGTCCTTGATGGAGCAAAGTTTGTATTTCCTGTGGCAAGATTTAAGCAAACAATTTAAAATGACCGTGAAATTGGTCTTAGTGAAGTGACTTAGAAATCAGTGTATTTTTATTGGGGAATCTGTAATCAGTTGCAATTTTTACAGCAGAACACAGATAAGCATTAGGACTTTAAACTTCTGAAGATCTGTTGGGAATTGTAATCTCAAAGCTAACACAAAAAGAGCCTGGAGGTGATTTTCTTTTTTTTTTTTAAATGCATTATCAAAAATTTCAGGCTTTTTCTTTAAACTTTTGATGCTTATCCAATAACTGTTTTAATCTTTGCATAAATAAAACAATTTGGTTATATCCCATTCAGTATGTCCTTAGTGGATATTAAAACCATTTAAATAGCTCTGAAGTGGGTGTTTTCCTGTCAAAACTTGAAGCTTAACCTTTGTATTTGTGTGTGTTGCTTTGAATTTAACATAAACTGAGTTACTTAAGAAACATTTTTCTGACTTGAAGGTTCCATATTGTCGAAAATGACACTCCGTTACATTTTAACTTTTTTATTTCCCCCCCCATAGATCTGTTGTTTACCAGCAGAGTTCCAAGGAGTCTGCTACACTGCAACCTTTCTTCACCCTGCAGCTGGACATCCAGTCAGACAAGATCCGCACAGTGCAGGACGCCTTGGAAAGTTTGGTGGCAAGAGAGTCTGTCCAGGGATACACCACAAAAACCAAGCAGGAGGTGTGTTCTGCTGAGTCCTTTCTTTACAGCCAACTCCTCAAGTTTTTTAAAAGGGTTTTTATACAGCTTTTGCTTTGCAAATAGCTGTTGGAACACTCTTATGTTAACAGAAGAGGGAGGAGCTTTCCCAAGTGTCCTGCAGTAGTAAAATGTCTTATATGTGAGCACATACACTGAGAGGAAGAGAATTAACCCTTAACCAAAACCATGCCTGTGAATAACTGGTGTAGTAATTTATTGGAGATTTTACTGCAGTGTATTTTAAATTAACAGAGTGAACTGTGGTAATAATACACACTGTTATGTTTAGCTGATCTTAACATACTGGTTCCTGGGAATTGCCAGATTTTTTTAGTAAAGGAGCAGCTCTTCAAAATATCATTTCAAAGCAGGCTCTTGCTTTAGGAAGAAAACTCCTGGAGCAGAACACTTGCCTGGTTGTTTGTGTGGCTGTCCTTGAGGAGTTTTAGTTTCCACACTTTACTTACAGATCAAAAATGGAAATACTTGTCGATGGGAGGCCTGGAAGAAGTCAGTGTAGAACCTCTCTAAAATATCTGATGATTCCCAAGCAACTTTGCAAAATTTTTTTAATCTCCTCTTTCAATTAATACATAATACAAATAATTGCAATAGAAAAATCTTTCCAAGGAGGAAGAGTTTGCCTTGGACCTTGCAGTTTGAGAACTTGTGGTAGAGGGTAATAAATTAGACTTCATAAGGCATTGCCTTGCTCCTTATGGTGGGCAGCAGTAAAGAACATCATCTTTGCTGTGCTTGGATTGCTCAGGTGGAAATTTCCTGTACACTGTGGATAACTCTGGAGTTGTAGGTGTTCTCTCTGACATTCATGTCTGTATCTGTGAGTTTTCTAAATATTCCAAGCGAGAATAGGGTGAGATAAAGAAAAGATGGATCATTTTCTTTGAAAAGCCAAAGATGAATAGCTGAAATTTGCCTTGAATGCTCAGAAGATTCATTTCTCCAGTTGTTTTCCATGTGAAAGAAACATTTGCAATGCTAGCTCATCACGATTTACCACATGGATCTTGTCTTGCCAGTCATTCATTTCTTGGTTTTGCCTGCAGATGGTTTTAACTTCTTGACTGACAACCCAGTGCTCAATTAGGGGGTTTGGAAGAAATGGGTGTTCAAATTAGGTGCTGGAGGTTTGGGCTGGCTTATTTCAGAGTTTGGATGGAAATACAACCATCCACAGTGTCTTCTAGATTTTTATTTTTTTTTAAGAAATTCAAGTTGAAATAGTTGTTCTTATACTAAAATTGTAGTAAAAACACTGAAATCATTGTCTGTAGAACCAGCAAAGGACTTTGCAGATAGTAATTTCCAGAATGTGTTGCAAAGAAGTATTTAATGTCCATTTTATGGAAGGGAAACTCAGGATTACTGATAAAGCTAAAAATAACATTATTATATGAGTAAAAATTATTGCTCTCTCCTGATTGTTTTAATCTGCCTTAAACTGTGGGCATACATTGGTAGGAGAAGAGCAGTCTTCCAAATACATGTGAATGATTTATCTTAAAGTTTGGGTTTTAATCACTTTGAGCTGGTTTTGAATTTTATGTGTGTATTAATACAAACAGTAAATCAGATTTTCATGCAGTGTTAAATTAGGCATTTTAAATGCAAACACCTGTTTAACATGGAGTGACATCCTCTTGCTGTTCCTGACTTAAATTTCACTTGCACTTGAAGAAAGATTTTTTGGTTCCTTTTGGTCCTACAGTTCAGTTGGTTAAATCTTGAATATTTGATAGTTAATATGTTAAGGGATTAATTTTTATCCTCGCTGAAGTGATCTTTCAGTCTCTTATTCCTGTTTACAGATATTTTTAGTGTCTTGAGCAACAAACTGACCTTACCTTGTTCACTTTTCCAGGTTCCCTTCCCCATACTCCTCAGAGGCAGTCTTCACATTCCCTGGGGTTCTCAAACTGCTTGGAAAGAGAATAGTTTTTTCCCCATGAATTTTTATTCCCCACTTAGTAGGTTCTAGCAGAATCAAGCCCTGTATTGAAAAATAATATGCTGGTGACTGCCAGTAAAGAGATTTTTCCCAATAAAAAGTGGAGGAAAAAACCTTGGGCAGTTATTTTGAGAAGTGTTTTTATGTCTTAATTTCTAGGAAGGCAAAACATTTTTGTTCTGCAGTTCTGAGCTCAGTTTTGGCTTTTCAGACAGCAACTTTGTGGATTGTTTGGTTATAATTATATAAAAATCACTATTTAGTAGAGAAAAGGGTGGTCATAACTCCTATTTCTCTCTTTGAAAAGACTGAGTTGTCCTTTAAGACAGCATTTTAGTTGAAGATCCAGTGGGCTTTAAGTCATTAACTGCAGTTTTTACTGTAAATTAATTAATTAACAATAATAGATCTGGGGTTTTTTGCAAGTGTATTTAAAATTAAACACTCCTAATTTGAAGGAGTGATTTTTGAGCAGTTAACAAGGAATTACAGGTGTTCTTTGTGTGTGTGTCAGGTGGAGATCAGCAGAAGAGTCACACTGGAAGAGCTGCCCCCTGTTCTTGTTCTGCACCTCAAGCGGTTCGTCTACGAGAAGACTGGGGGGTGTCAGAAGCTTATCAAGAATATTGAGTATCCTGTTGATCTGGAAATTAGTAAAGGTAAGGATTTTTGAACAGAATTTCCCCCTCTTTAGAGAACAGATAACACTTTGTTTCCTCAGGGTGTCTGTGTTTCAATTTTATTTCTTCTGCACAAGATTTTCGTTTTCATCATTGTCTGAAAACTCAGTAACTTGGATGAACATTTCGTGTGTTTTTTCCTTTTATTTTATTCTTAAAAAGAACATATTTGGGTTTCTGAGTTCAGTCTTGCTGAACCTGACATTGCCTCTCTAAGAGTTGGAGCGTCTCTTTTGAAAAGAGGTGATTATGATGAAAGATTTAAAAACCTTTGGCACTTCCTAGACAATGAGTTGACCAAAGAAGGCTTCCTGTGGATTTATGGAATGGGGTTATAGGCTGGAGTAAATATGAAGTAATTATAGACTGCTGAGGACAATAATGGGAAGTGATCCTCTTGAATGAGGGCTATGTCCCCTCTACAAGGCTGTTGCCAAGTAATACTGGATATTTTTATCACAGATTTATTTAAATAATTAGTGGCTGATGGAAGGAAACTGGTGTTTTATAGAAAATGCAGCCTTGTCATTGCCTGACAGCAGGAATGAAAGGGAAAAAAATGAAGTCTCATCTTTTGCTCTGGTTTTTTTCCTTCATTTTTAGTTGTATTTTTAAACCTTCCATAAACTACAGTGTTCAGTAAACCTGAAAATTCAGTCTCTTGATTAAGAGGTGTCAAAACTATGACCTTTCTTTAAAGGCTGCAGAAGAAATTTCAATTCAACTTTCTCCTTTATGATAGTGTTGATTTCTCTGAGAAGTAATTGATCCCCTTGAAATTAAATTTCGAAATTTTCTAACTGTTGCCTTTGTGACTTTGTTTTCCTCCTCCAGAGCTACTATCTCCTGGTGTGAAAAGTAAAATTTTTAAAGGCCAAAGAACCTACCGGCTCTTTGCAGGTATTATTTAATCTCTGTGCCTCTGGTCCCTATTGTGTTGCAAATGCTAATTCTTCGTATGGAATTGTGAGAACACTGGAGTTACAGTTAAAATTACACTGAAGTAACTTGTGCATGTGATATTATTGTATTTAGTGAGGGGTTTTGCATGTGTATATACATGTATATTGTTACATCTGTATTTATGGATCTCACTGATCCAACTCTACAAAAAATTTTGTAGATCCACTGTGACACATACCAGCAGAAACTGAAATACAGCTGGGATATAACTGTGCCTAAAATACAGCACAGATTCTCAGAATAATGTTTCAGAATGTCTTTGGGAAAAACTGTTTGAATACTGGCTTTGCATCCCCTTGAACCCCAACTTCTGTGTCACCAAATTAAGTTTCAGATATCATCCAGAATTTGCCTACCTGTCAAACAATAAAGTTTAGAAAAATAATTCAGGTTTAGGCTAATGTAAAAAAAATGACATGCTAAATTTCCCCACATGCATAGAGGGAGAGTACTGTGCCTTTTGCAGAAAAGAGACAGTTAAGGAAAGAAGGCAGTTTGAGTCTGTCTTGGAATTAGCAGATAATCAGAGGTGTTCAGTTCACAGGTTTGTTAAGGAGGTTGACTGAGAACTAATAAATGTGAAACTTGTAGGTTGGTTCTTTCATAGTTGGTTCTCTCCTAGAACTTTGTTTCAGAATAATGTTACAGTGAAAATGAAAGCCGTGGTTGGAGGGGGATAACTGCACTGATGACAAATGTGAGCCAGTTGGAAAAGTGTGCCCTGATTTTTGTTTTTTTGTTTGTTTTTTAAATAGATCACTGCTTTTTTTAATAGACCACTAGAGAGGTTTTTATTTACAAATAGTTTTAATAAAATACTGTTGTGGTGAGCAGAGTGAATGTGTAGCTTAGAGTATCCCCATAAGCTTGGCAGTACCTGTTGGAAGGCTCTGCAGGGTGTGCTGCACTCGTTGCAAACGGCCTTTGCAAGGCAAATCCTTTCCAGAAAATCCTCTAGGAAGTTATAAAAAGCAATTCAATGCTTTGATTCTTAATTTACTTAACCCTTTGCTTAGAATCGTGAGATTTGGTATGCTGGAGAAGCGTGACAAATATTGACCAGGGGCTGGAGTGACAGGACAAGGGGGAATGACTTCACACTGACAGAGAGCAAGGTTGGATTAGACACTGGGAGGGAATTCTTCCCTGTTAGGGTGGTGAGGGGCTTGGATGGAATTCTTAGGGAAGCTGTGGCTGCCCCATCCCTGGATGGGCATAGTCTTAAGTTCTGCCGGGGGAGGTTTAGGTTAGGGTTAGGTTTATAGGTTTAGGTTAGGTTTATAGAGAGGGTAATCAGGCATTGGAATGGGCTGCCCAGGGAAGTGGTGGATTCTCTGTCCCTGGAGGTTTTTAAGATGAGACTGCATGGGGCACTTAGTACCATGGTGGTAGTGGATCAGGGGTTGGACTTGATGACCTCAGAGGTCTTTTCCAACCAGGCTGATTCTATAATTCTGTGATTCTGTGAAGAGTCCAAGGCCAGGTTGGACAGGGCTTAGAGCAACCTGGGATAGTGGAAGGTGTCCCTGCCCATGGCAGGGGGTGGAACAAGATGGGCTTTAAGGTCCCTTCCAATTCAAACCATGCAGTGATCCTACACAGAATCAAATGTAAGCAAAAACTAAAAAATACTTAAAGGTTGTTGCCTGAGCCAGATCATCCCATCTGGAGAAAACAGTGAGAGGCAGCGGGTTGACTCCGTTAGTCAGAACATGGTGCTGATAATGCCAGGGCAGTGGGTTCAGTCCCCACCCAGGCCCTTCATTAAGAGCTGAACTGAGATCTTTGTGGGTCCCTTCCAACCTGGGCTGTTCCATGAGTGAGCCTTTCCCATTATCCCCATTTCCCTGGCTCTGTGTGTGTGTGTGTGTTGCTCTGTGCCTCACTCCCGTCTCCCCACAGTTGTGTATCACCACGGGAACAGCGCCACGGGTGGCCACTACACCACGGACGTCTTCCAAATCGGGCTCAACGGCTGGTTGCGCATCGACGACCAGGCCGTGAAGGTGATCCATCAGTACCAGGTGGTGAAGCCGACTGCGGAACGCACAGCCTACCTCCTGTACTACCGCCGTGTGGACCTGCTGTGACCCCTGCCTGCAGCACCCTGCTCTCTAGGACGCCAACTATCACTAATTTCCTCTCCTGTAAATGCTCTTCTGAGTGAATCTTTTGTTTTCATTTTTTTTTCCTTTTATTTTTCCTTTTCTTTTAATTTTCCTTTTATTTTTTCTTTAATTTCCTTTTTTTTTTTTTTTAAATTTTTCCTTTTATTTTTTATTTCCCCCTTTTTTTCCCCGCCCCTTGCAACTATAAGAGTGATAAAGGAAACTACCGTGGGTTTGTGCACGACGTAGTTTGTGTTTGACTTTTTGCCAGAATGAAGTCGCTTGGTTGGAAGACTCGAGTCTCGTGAATCACAAAAAAAAAAAAAAAAAAAAAAAAAGGCAAAACAAAAATTAATCTGAGTTCATGCTGAATCCTAAGATAATAAAGGGATTGACATTTAATTCCCACTTTCTAAATGCGTAGTAGAAGAAAACCCTGCACCAGCAACAGAACTTGTAGATTTCTGTGAAAATGTTTTATCTTTACTTCAGTAAAAAAAAAAAAAATTAAAAAAAAATTAAAAAAAAATAAATAAAAATAAAAAAGCTCTCTCTGCTTTCCCCAATAGTTTTTTGATAAGTGGTAAAATATGAGCCGATGTGTATGAGATGGAAATGGTCCTTTGTGCTTCAAAACATGTACAAACTGCAGAGTTGCTGGTTCCTGATAAGAAGACACATTTTAATAATTGTGCGATGAGAAACTGCTTAAGTACACATTGCAGATCAAATATTTGGAGTTAAGATGTTAGTCTATATAGATGGGTGATTGTAACTTTATTGCTATTAAGAAATTTCAAACTGCATTTATGCTTCTGTGTACATGAAATTAAGAAAATGGGCAAAATAATTAAGATTGATATTTCTTTAAGTCTGCTTTGTTTAATTTTGCTGTCTGCTCTCCTATAATGTTGAGTTCCTAATTGTACACAGTTTAGTGATATCTAGAAGTATAAAGTTGTCGCCCATCAATAAAAGTCACAAAGTTGGTTTAAGGTGTGTTGTGTGGGTTTTGTTTTTCCTCAGGTGTAAATCCTACCCGTGGAAACTTCAAAGATTTCCATGTAGCACTTCCATGAGGTGTAGAGGGCCTTCCCCAGCTGAAGGGTAGATTATATTCTTTCAATTTTACAACTTCTTGAAAATTCAGAATGTCCCATTTTGCATTGGGATGGAGCTGAACTTTGAGAGGAGAGGGGAAGGGAGAGGAAATCAGTCATGCCAAGGGATGTGGCAATCCCTTGGGACTGAGCTGAGCCCTGGCCAGCCAGAAGAGGGAATGGAATCCCTTCTGTATCCTGAAAGCCCCCCACAGTTGTTTCTGAGGTAGGTGGTGTTTTGTCTTCAACTAAACTATTCTCTCCTTTAGCCAGTCGACATTTTCATGGAAAACTTTTGGTAAAAAAAATGTGTTGGATGAGCAGCAGGACCTGTTGAAAGCCCCCATGGTTTGCCCTGATTCATCTTCCCTCTCCTCGAATGGTGAAGAGCTCGGGATTTTCCTGCCTGTGGCTCACTGCTGGCAGTGCTGTTACCATTCCATCCAGGAAGGAGCTTCCTGCCCCAGCACCAGCTGTAGGTGGGAGTGTCCAGCCCTGTGGCACTTTGGGACGATCCTGTTTTCCTTGCTCAAAGGTGGGTGCTAATGAGATGGATGCTCTCTTTCTGGAATGTTCAGGCAGGGTTAATTTTATCACTCTTGCAGTCCTGATGCTGGGAAAGTTCAGTTGATGCTTTGTCATTCGTTTTGGATATCCAAATGTATAATTTTTTTCATAGATAAGCAGTATTAGTATTTTTTGATCTAGAAATCATGACTGAGATGCTGTTCTTGGTTTTGGTGACATTCCACCAACTCTGAAACAATTTTCTGTCCGAAGCTCACTTGGATTTTGGCTGGTTGCAGGGAAAACCTCAGTTGCTGGCTGCTCACTGGGCACGGTGCCCTGGAGCTGGGGCTACCCAAGGGCTGGTGCTCCCAGGGTTTCCCAAGGCAGGGTTACCCATGATGGGAATTGCCTGGAGCTGCACTGGTGAGACATTGAGCATTCTGCTTTGATTTTGAAATCTGAGGGGAGTGGGGGGGTTGTTCCAAATAGGAGGAAAATCAGACTTTGAAATGACTGTTCTGTGCTGGTTATTCACGTCCTGTTCCTGCACCGTGGTTGAAGTCGTTTTCTGTATTGCAGAAACCCTGTTTTTAATTATTTTTGTGGCTGTATTTATTTACTTGTATCTCCAGTGCATTTCTGATAATGTGGGCTTAAATAGTCCAGCTATAACTGCAGGTGATCAGTAATTAATACATTACTTGGTAGAGGTTACAAGTGTTATTATTTTAAAGATATGGCAATGAGTCATTGCCAGTTTAAAAATCAAGTGTCGAAATCCGCTCTTAGTATGACTTGGAATTGTTCAGATGGTAGGAATTTTTTGATTTTTCACTGAGTATGTTACAAATGCACTTGCTGGTAAAATCTGACTTCTACAGTGGATTACTCAAGGGGAAATAAAAAATATGTGGCAACAGTGATGTGGACACGTAACCACAATTTTTATTTTCTGGATTAAGCTCTTACCATTGTTGCAAAATGAGGGTTTTACAGCCTTTTGATAATTTGCTTTGTCTGTGTGTGATTATGTAAAAGAAAACCCCAACACCCACAGCAACCCCCTCTCCCATACACCGTAAATCCGGTGGTTGTTTACTGATTTTTAAGCCAGCGTTTAAGCAAGGGTTTTTTTTACATAAAAGCACATTAAGACCTAAAATTTTCGAAACTGGAATCTTTGGATGTGCAGGTCCAAAGGGCTGTTGGGAAGACCTTGTGCTATAAGCCAGGTCTGCAGGGGAACAATTGGATGGGGTTGGGGAGGAGGATTATCAAAGGCACAAGGTATTTGGGGGTGGGGGGAGGTCGTGTGTGTTTTAATTAGGAAACTGCTGGTTTCCATAATATCCCCTGGGGGTGATGTCACACCTGGGGCTGGGCTGCAGGAGAGGGGAGTGGTGGTCTGTGCCAGGTTTATCTTTGTAAATGTGCTCTAAATCTCTGGTTTTGACTAGGAATGAGGAGCAAGCCTTGGACGTGCCAGGGATGATTCCAAGATTTTGAAGGTTGGTGCAGCTGGGCGTTTATTTCCGGCTATTTTTAATTACTCAAAAGGATTTTATGGAAAGAATTTTGTATGGGCAAATAACCAGCTGTAAGGGCTGTGGAGCTTGTGACTGCAATTCACCTTCTCTGTTTGGGGGTTGAGGGGGGGTGAAATCTCCAAAGACGGGTCCTGGGTTAATAGTTCTGAGCTGTCTCAGTCTGCAGATCTGTACCAGTTACTTTATTATTATACCAGTTTATTTGTTATTTTAAAAGCGTGTTTCAACATCTCTCACTGCAGATGTGACCAGGGAATGTGGGGAGATGTGAGAACAAGGTGAGACGTTTTCATGGAATCCCAGAACAGTTCGGGTTGGAAGGGACCTCAAAGCTCATCTCGTTCCACCCCCTGCCATGGGCAGGGACAGCTTCCACTAGACCAGGTTTGTCCAAGCCCTGTCCAACCTGACCATAAACACTTCCAGGGATGAGACATCTACACCTTTGGACAACCTGTGCCTCATCACCCTCATAGTGAAGAATTTTGTAGTTTTTAGTTCACATTTCACTTCTACTTCGTGTGGTCAGCGGTGCCCCCAAAATTTTCTGAAATTGCTGCTGCTTGTGTGCTCATTTCCTTTACTTGCCTCAACTTTTACCTGGGCACTGATGAAACAGCACAGGTTTTATGGGGAGTTGTTTTCTTTGCATATCATCAGCTGATGAAACATTTGGGGGAATGTTCTTTGTTGTGAGAAGATGGAAAAGAAGCTGCAGATGAACTTGTGTGATCAGTCCAGGCTGCCTTGAAGAACAGTGAGAAAGGATAAATAGGGATTCACAGTGCCAAATACGAGTTGTGCTTGGGAGTAAATCTAAGTGCCTTTTACTCCTGTGATTTGGATCCCCACAATTCATCTGCTAATGAATTTGTTAATTCATCTGCTGGAGCAACGTCTGGATTGCTGCTTTGCTGTGGGGTCAAGACATCTTCACCCCATCCCTGCTGGAGAGCAGGATGGATGTGTCAGGGATTTCCTGGCTACCTCTGCCCCACTGCATCATCCTCAGGCAGAGCCAAGCCCAGGCAGGAGGAGAAGTGTTAAATAGGCAGCAAAGCAGGGGGTGTTCCCCAAACCTGAGTGTGGCCATGCCTGGTGCCCTTCAGGAGCAGCCCAGGGCCTGCTGGTCCCCACTGTGCTCTCGCTGTACTTGGTCACAGACAACTTCCTGCAGGTTTCACCCTGTTATTCCTCTTGTGCTCCCTCTGCTCTGGAGGAGGAGTCAAGCCCAGAGAACACCAAGAGTTACCCTGCAGTTTTCAGCCTCTCCCCGTGCCATTCCTTCTGCCCTGCCTGGCTTTGGGCCCATTATTGCCTGTTTGAATAGGAAGTAAAGGGGAATTAATTCAAGTTGAAGATCAAGACATGCTGTCTGCACGGTCAATTAGGAGGGCACAGGGAAATCTGTGTCTCTTCCCATTCATTGGTTATTCCATTAAAAGCCTCTCTCCTAATATATACTTATATATGCAGCCTCCTTTATGTGGCTTTTACCACATATGAAATGGAGACGTTGTAATCAAGGCAGTAATAATGTGGAATGATTAAAAGTGACTTCTGATTGTTTTGGCTTTAGTTGAACATATGGCCCAAAACTGCTGACTTCAGACAAAATGAGGTGGATAAAAAGCCTTGTTCCAGGCTGTGCTCATCCCTAAACACAACCATACCTTGTAGAGTGAAAATCAGCCTGGCATATATTAAAAAAATTAAAATAAAAAATCAAATCTTTGTAGAGCAGCCAGGTTGATGGAGCAGTCAGACAGCCCAAACCATCCTACAGGGATTCATTTCCCATAGGGACATTTGTGGAGATTACAAAATACCGAATTTCTCTGAGGTCTGGAAATTATTTGTACGTCGGCATGTGAGACTGAGAATGAGTTAATTCAGCTTTATGGTAATTGGGGTGAACAGCACCTTCGGAGGGCTGTGAGTCAGGGCTGGGGAGCTGTGTGGTTTTGGGGTGGCAGCCTGTGTGGGGGCACGATGGTTCACCGTGTTGGACCTCGTTATTCAGGGAAATTAGGAACTGGGGGGGGGGCTGCAGCACCTTTCAGCTGATTAAATAAGCCTTCAGGAAATACAGCAAACTCACTGATCCAGAGTGAATCAGAGGAGCAAGGAAAAAAAAAAAAAAAGGAGGATACAGTGATTTTACAGTAAAGCAGTTCAGAACCTTCTGTCAGCCCAGTTCTGGGTGGTCTTTGCCAGTGCTGGTGGCAAAGTCTGAGCTTTTTTGGGAGCAAACTGCCCAGATTGCACTGAATTGCTCCTGGCAGGGTAGAAGTGCCAGGTCCAACTGCTGGACCATGTGTTGTCAGTTCACATACACAGTTTGTTTTGAAGTAAATAGAAACTCTTTGTAAATACAGCTGGGAGAGCGTGGCCAGTGGAGAAGAGCAGCCAGAAGGGGTGTTGTGGCTGTACCAGGCTGCAGGACTGGGACTGACTGGTGAGGACTGGCTCCCTGTCTCACTTGAAAACGGAGCAGAAGATACACCCTGAGTGATGGGAATCTGCAACTTCTTGAAAGATTCTCAGGAAAATGGTGTAAGAGACAAAATCAAATCAGCAGTTATGCCTTGGAGCGCACTCCAGAGGGTTCTGTTCTCTGCTCAGAGCAGTTGTGCTCTCTCAACTGCCAATATTTGCTGCTCTTGAACAAGTTTGATAAATGTCCTTCTGCTTTCTGAGCACCGCTGGGTCCAAACAAACCCCTGGGAGTATCTTGTAAACTCCCTTCTAGTAAACAGTAAATAAAAGTGGTTGGTGTTTTGCCTGAAGAAATAAATATTGACTTCTTAGAAGAATGGAAGGACTTTTTTCCCTAAGAACTTTGGAGAGAGGACTAGGCAGTGGATTCGGAAAAGTCACGGCAGCTTTGCTTGAATGTGCCAAATCCAGGAGATTGATGTTCCTCTGCCTCCACGTTGGGTTGCCACCGGTGCTGCTTCCACAGAGGGACACCCCGGGTGATGTGCTGTCCCTGGAGTGCTGCTGGATGGGGATCCCACAGGACTCCCATGCGTGGTGATGCCTGGATCTGCTCATCCCCCTGTGGGCTGGAGCTGCCGCAGCAGAGGTGCCGTAACATACCCGTGCTATTACTCACCAGAGTGGTTTGTTTTTTCCCCAGCTGTTTACTTAAAGAAAAGGGAAGGAACTTTCAGCCTGTCTTTTGCTCAATCGTTTCCCTTTGCTGTGAGTAAACCCTCGGAAATGGGCACGGAGCTGGATGTCACAGCTGGGGCTGTTGGGGCATCAGCGGCACAGCAGGAGAGGTGAGTCCTGTCTGGGGGTTTCACTCGCTCTTTGCTTTCCTTATTCCCTGGAGCTCCCGGCTGAGCCATGGGGAATGTCAGCGCTGGGAGAACTTTGGGGACAAACTGCAGAGGGGGATTAATCTCCTGTTTCCCAGCAGACACCCAGCTCTGGGAAAAAAAGGGGGATGCCATGAGGTGTGCTGGAGGGCTGGAGCTGGGAAATTCCAAATCCCTCGCTGTGGGATTTCCCTGTGAGGAGCAGGAATGGCTGAGCTGGCAGCCGGGAAGAGCCAGCTGGCTTTAGTCCCTCGCAGGAAAAAAACCCTTTCTTGGATTCCCCCTCCCTCCTCACAGGAGCTCCTGGAATCCGCAGTGCTGCGAGCTCTGCCCGAGCACCGACTGCAGGGGAAAGCACAGCGAGCCCTTTTATACCACCATGGGCTGCCCTTCTCCTCCTCCTCCTCCTCTCCCCTCCCGGTGCTCCCGCCTTTGGGAGGATGGTCCTGCTCTGCTGAGCCCCAATGACTGACTTCAAACTGCCGCGGTCCCAATCTCTGCTCCTCGCTCCTGCCTCCTTCCCTTGTTTTTTTTTCTCCCCCTCCTTTCCCCCCCCCCCCCTTCTTTTCGTTATTACTCCACACCCGTTGCCAAACCCTGGATGATCCATGCTTGTCCTCTTTGCCTGGAGAGCATAAATACCACTGGGGAGCTCTGTGAGACTGCACTTGGTAGTACGAGTTGCTGAGCTGAGACCTTGCACATCTCGCACCTCCCGAGGCTTGTTCCATCCTTCTCCCCTCCTCCTCGTTTAAATATTTCAGACACATCATTTATTTTCCACAAGCAGGCTTGGAGAAGCTGCAATTACCTGGAGACCTGGAAGTACTCGGCAAGGTAAGTGTAAAGTTTGGTCCCTGCTTCTGAAATGTGGTTTGGGGTGGGGGTGTGTGTGCAAGAAATTACTTTTTTAGGAAGGCACAATTTTAGTAACTTCTCCAAAAAGTTGCCTGGATGGTATAAAATAACACAATACTGTCTGAGCTTCCCTTATTGTATGGTCTGCAGAGGTTAATGTAAGATTAATAAACATTAATCTTGAATGAATGGGAGGAGTTTGCAAGTACAGGAGTGGATTTCTATTGCAAACAGAAAATATCCAAGGGATGCTGTAGCAGTGTCTAAGAGCTAATGCCTGTGGGCATACCAGTGTGCTCCAGAGTTTGTGCCACTCTGCTTTAAAGTCCTGTATAAAGGGAATTTCAGTGTTACCACATGTGGTGTCTGTTACCACTGGGTTTTCTATGTGGTTTTACATAGAAACTCACCCACTTGGGTTCTGTGGGAGTGGATTGCAATGGAAGATCCAGATGTTTTGGCCCGTGGGCTTGAAGATGCTGAATTTATGGTGTGTTGGTGCAATGTTTCAAATTGTCCTGTGTCAAGGAACTTGTCATCCTGCTTTTCTTTGGAAGCCAACACAATTCTTTGAGGCTTGAAATGTGTGAATCCCAGGTAGAGAGATGGGCTGCTGGAGTTTAGTGCTTTAGGTATGTTGTGACTTTATCGCTGGATTTCTTTGCACAGGTTAGAAGCTGATCCCAGGCTAACCCAGGCTAAAAGCTGATCCCAGGCTAACTCATCCTAGATTTCAGGCTAACTCAGGTTAGAAGCTGATCCCAGACTAACTCAGTTTAGAAGCTGATTTAGAATGCTAACTCCCCTCTGCTTTGCTGTTTTAGATGCTTTCCTGATATCCCAAGCTGATTTTTGCATTTTCCTGCCTTGTCAGCTTGTGCCAGGTGTAGCTCCACAGATCCTGGGATGCTTCAGCTGCAAATGTCACCCATCACCCAGGAGTAAGCACCCACTCATGTATTTTGCCAGGGGGGCAGTCCAAGCTCAATATCCATAAGGAATAAGGTGACATGAGGACATCCTGAAGGAGTCAGCCTGCATGTGGCTTTAGCAGCCTCACATGCCAGGCTTCAGATGCGACCAGCTCTCCTGCTGTCCGTGCAAAGCAGACGCCATCCGTTAGCTGGGGAAATAGCTTTCTAAAAATAATCTTCTCCAAAGTCCAGTGCTGCTCTTTGACTCCCTCAGACCCCAGAAGAAGGCCTCCTCTCTGTCCCCACTTCGGACAGGCATTTCAGCACATTAAGGAGTCGGTTTCTGCTGACTCAGTCATTTCTGATCGCTCCCAGATGTTTACCTGGCACCAGTATCAAGGGCCTGATGTGCTTAAAGGGGTGTTGTGCTAATGCTCCTCTTGAGCACTTGAAATCAACAGCAGACACTTCCTCAGCTGACTGTCAGCTGATAATTTTCTGTGAATAATATCCAATTCCAACTCAAAGGCAACATGACTCCAACCTTCCCATATGAGGAGCTCCTGATGGAGCCCGGAGGCATCGCCCTGGCTCTGCAGGGCACTTGGTCTGCCTGAGCTGCAACACGTGTCCCAGCGCTTCTTTGCACCTGGGCACGAGGCTATGGAGAGGCAGATGGATGCACATCTGAAATCGATGAGAGCTTTCTGAAATGTGAGCATCTTTCTGCTGCTTTCAATTAATTTGGCCAGGGAACTCTTTCCACTCTGTCCCTCTTTGATTCCTTTCTCCTCCCTTTGGATGCTCAGCGCTCCCCACCTTGAGCCAAAGCAGAGGAAGGGACCCGCACACTCAAAGTGAAATAGAAGATAAAACCAAAGTGACCTAATTTTAGAGAGGTGCTGGTATCCCCTTGCTGTCAAATGGGATCCAGGGAAGCACATCCCGAGGAATAATGCACCATCTGTTGCGAGGTTTTGGCTGGGTCGCGAAACCAGACGCGCTGGCTTCGCTGCGGAGGCGTGAGTGGGGCAGCTCCTCTGGCTCTCAGATGTTACAGCTGATTTCTTTCAATCTGCCCTTTCTGAAAGTTCAGTGTTTGCCTTAAATGGGTGGCGGATTTGGGCTCCTATTTAAGCAAAGGGCACCCGGCCAAGCGAGGGGTGCAACGGCAGCCTCTGAGCGCCGGCTGTTCCTCCGCCTCCAGGCCAGGCTGCAGGGATTGCTGCCGCTGCTAAATGGCCACATTGTAAACGGCCGTGGCACTGCAACTATTTTTAAACTCCCGGGGAAGTGCCTCAAAGTAGGAATTGTTCCCCGAATTTGGGTCAGACAGTCTACAAAAGCAACTGCTCGTTTTGCTGCCCCTGCCCCTCCGTAGCTGGGTTAGAAAGTCAGGCTCCTGCTTGGGGGGGGAAGCGAATGCCACAAACAGGGCTGAGAAGAGGATGAGGTTAAAGGAATATTTGTCCCAGTGCCACTGAACGTCCTGTCTTCAGGTGTGCCTGGAGCCGGGGACAAGGCGCGTGTGTTGGACTTGCTCCGCAGAGCAGGAAATGATGAGAAGCCGTTACCTAAACTGAGCACATTACATCCTGCATTGTCCTGCCCCGGCAAAGGCTTAATGTGCTGCCTGGAGAGAGGCTGAGGGCAGCTGGTTTTCATCTGCCTTGATATTCAGTACGAGAAAGAAGCCTCAAACAGGGACTTTGTGTCTTTTGTGTAGTCAGCCAACGAGTTTTCAGGGTTTTTCAATAGTCTCAAAGTTTTTTTGGGGGTCCCTGTCTGTGCAAGGCAGGTCGTACTTGCCACTGTCCTCCACAGTGGCTGTTGTGCTGGGTCTGGGGAATGGGGATCTGGGGCTTTGTGCTTGAAGCATAGCTTTTCCAGCTGGGGGCTGGATGGCTTTTCCCTGCCTTGGATGGTTTCCAACTCATCTGGTCTCAGTGTGTCCAAATCCCGTGTCACTGGGATGAAACTTCTCGAATAGTTCTTGCTAATCTGGGGTTTGTTTCCTGCTGCTGTGTAGGAATGCTTTCAGCGTGGCTTTCAACACTGCTGTCAAAACCAGATCCTCACCTCATGTTGTAGGCAGGGATGGGGAAGCTTTCCTCCAAAATTTAGTCCTAAGGAGGGAGATCCTGTGTTTTCACTGTCTGTACGGACGCTTCTTGCTCAGATCGATCCTGCTCCAGTGGCTCTTGGATCCCAGTGAGGAGCAGTGGGTGCTGCAGAGCCCTGCAGCAGCACAGACTGCCTTCCCTGAGCAGCTCCTGGTCTAAATAAAACCTGCCAAGACACGCAGGGAATGTTAGACAGATAAATTGGAGCAGGGGGGAGTTTGGGAATAGCAGGTGGAGCGAGAGCACCGCGGAGCAAGGGAGAGGGATTAAACAAAGCTGTTCCAACCGGGCAATGACCAAATCAAGACTGTCCCTCGGAGCCCTCAGTGCTGACAGTGCTTTCGAGTGCATGGGAACACCTGATGTGGCCGGGGGAGGGTGGGTGCTCGGGCTGCTCTCCGGAACTTCCATAACTCACATCCCTGGCCCTGCTCCCGCCTTACGCGAAGCGCCGCGTCAGAGACCCCCTGTGGGAGCGTCACTGCCGGCAGGGATCGGCGATGTTTGGTGTTACAGTGACATTTCCCATAAACAGCCACTCTCACACAGCCTGGCAGCTGCTCTGCTGGACTCCATCGGCGGAGTGGGGCCTCCAGAATAGCTCATGCTGATGCCTGACCTCTGCGATCCGGCTGCCCGGCAATTTTACTTTCCCTGTTATTCGTATCTGTTCTCCACTTTGGCAGCTGCTCTTGGTGGGAATAACTCTGAATGTCTCCCCTTCCTGCCTGTGAAGGGATGGGGATGGGATTACTCTGAGCTGCTGGGCATTGTGGGTTGGCACCTCCACCAAAGACGTTGGAGTGCAGGAGGCACCTTCTCCCAAGTCTGGGGAGTGCTCATTCCCAAAACATCAGTGGTTTAATGAACTCAGTCCCCATCACTCAAGGGATTGTTGTTCAGATCTTCCCATCATTGGAGTGAATGGGAATTGTAGGCATCACTTATTTCCAAGCACAAATCTGGGCTGTGGGGCCTCACTGTTGGGTGATACATGCACTGAGAGCTTCTCTGGCGCTGCCCTCACTGCCTGTTTCTCCCCAAATTCCAGACCTGCGCTGAGCCATAGGAGTCCCACCAAGAAAACCTACCACCACCTTCATCTTTGCTTCTACTGGCTGTAAAGGAGAAAGCATGAATCCTGCCCTGCCTTGGATCATTCCTCTTGGATGTGTACTGCTCCTGACAATGACAGCTGAATGCTTTATCCTGCCCAACTCAAGTCACCTGGAGAGCATCCTGAGCAAATATCGGGATGGGGAAGCTCACTCCAGATCCAAGAGAGCCATTTTATTTTCAGACAGGCAGGAGATACTGATGCTTCACAATAAACTGAGAGGCCAAGTGTACCCAGTGGCCTCTAATATGGAATACATGGTGAGTCTAGTGCCTGATACCTCATTTGATTGCTACTTTTTGTATTTTCTAACTATATTTTAATTTTCCTTGTGGTGAGAGAGGTGCAGCAAATTTCCTCTGAAGTAAGTTTTTCTCAAGAGCTTTCCTGAAGCTATTTCATTCCAGAGTGAACGATGCTTTAGATCATTGGACTGTTTTAGTTGGAAAGGGCTGCTTATGGGTCATCAAGTCCATCCACTGCATAGTTTCAGGACTAGTTCCATTATTCATAAACGAGGTCTGGCCCAGCCCTGGATGCATCTCCGGTGATGGCAATTCCACAGCCTGCCTCAGCAGGTTCTTCCATTACCTTAATGTCATAAAAGCATCAAATTTTCCCTAGTGTTTAACCCATGCTCTCCCTGTGAAAGCTTTCAGGCTGCTTGGAGTGTTTTGGGACACCACAGTCTGCTCAGAGTATCTTCTGATGGTCTTTGGGTTGCCATCAGCTACCACCCAACGCTGGAGGTGGTATCTGTCCTCTTGTCATACACTGACCACCAGAGCCTATCCATGTGAGCCAAACATCCGTGATGCTGCTGGGAATCTGCTCTGGACCACAGAGAAACAGGGCTTGAGAAATGTGGCTCCATCTGCAAAGAATTTAATCACTGGAAATAGCTGGAAGGACTTTGGGAGTTTATGGGTGGATGGGCCGGCGCTATTGGCTTTTTGTAATTCAGGAAACCAAAATAAAAGTTTGGTCAAATGTATTCTCCCACTTCAGAGGGAGAACTTAAAGGTTTGAGCATGAAATATGCCTTTGCCATCAACAATTCCCATGAATAGCTTTTCTTCACCTGATGCCAGAGACCCTCCTTTGAGCTATTTTTGCTGTGCCATCAAAATATTACAGGGCCACAAAATGATGTAGGCAAATAATTATTTTTTGTGTGCCTTTTCCCAATGTGCAAATATAGTTCTGACCAAGACTAGTCTGACTTCAACTGTGCACTTCTGCTGACGGATCCAGTGATTAATGATTTGTTAAGACCATTTTTAAAAGGGTAAAAGAAAAGTGCACTTGAATGTCATATAAAATTGTTTGCCAGCTGTCCTGAAATGAGGGCTGCAAATGGAAAATCTTGCCTTTTGTGACTGTAAGGAGAAGGAAAAGAGAAGGGAGGGCAGAGGACAGAGAGGAAGGAGAACTGTGTGTGGGTTGGTCCCCACCAGCACTCACCCCGCCGGTGTCCTGAAGTGCTTTTGTCAGGCACCGCGTGCCTTTCTAAGAACCAGTGATTGTATCTCTTCCTCAGCGGCTCTCACGTTATCCTGCAGGGAAGGACTGCCAGAAGAGGCAACTTGATTGACTTCCAGATGGTAAACACAGAGCATGAGCAAGCCCAGTGTGTTTGGGTTGGCTCTGGGGATGGCAGAGCGCTGTGGACTGTCCACTGCCCGGCCGCTGTTTGCGCTCGCGGCGCGGTTACACTTCTCTGTTTGCCTTTGCTCAGGGAGCTTTTCTAGTGGTTTTTATGGCTGATTGAGGGCAAATGAAAGGGCCTTGTGTGCTGTGAAGAAAGGAGCTGAGTATAAGATGGTGCTGCTTGGAAGGGCCATAATCAGCCTTTCATGTGTTTGTGTTTACCCAGGACGACTTGGAAATGCCGTGTATAAGCTGAACGGGAATTTCTCTTTAATCCTTTGTCCTGCATAGGACATTTCTCATTTGGACTCGTTTAAGAGGATGGTCTGTCTTTAGTACCACAGATGAACTTTTCTCTTTGCCTTTGGTGCCCGTGTGGAGCGTCACCAGCGACGTGCAGCTATAATTTGGGGATAAGTAGGTAGAGCATGTTCTTGCCCATCAACCTCTAAGCACTGCCTTGTGAAAGTCCTTTCTCCCAGCTCCATATCTGATGTATTTAAGTGGTCTAAACTGGCAATGGGAGCAAAGGTATTCCAGGAAAGGGACATATTTAACTACTACAGGATGAGCTTCAATTGTTGGACGCTGTTGATAAGAAAACAATACCACAGTGGGTCCTATGACTCATCTGGAGATGAAAAGGATTATATACGTGTGGGATAAAGGTAAACCAGAGTGAAAAAAAATGAAGAAAGAAACAGTTTAGCTGCTGGGTTTATGTAATTAATTGAAAGTTGGCAGAGGTATTCAGTGTTAATGGAAAATGAGTGAGCAGTGCACAACTTCCTGACAAAGCTGGACCACTCTATGACTGACACTTCCACTGTGTGTTTGGACTTCATAACAGTGGTGGATGGGTGCCAAGACCAAAACAAACCCCATGTTAATAGGCCCAGAGTAAAAAGGACATAATGGACCCAGAGTAAAAAGAACATAATGGACCCAGAGTGAAAAAGGACATAATAGATCCTAAGGCATTGTGACCTTTTAATATGGCTTAGTCAGATGGCTTTCAGCAGTGATGAAAGACAGAAATCTTTCCTCTTGCGGCGGCCTCAGAGACAGCTGGATAAAGCAAAATTGTTCTCAGTGCAGATTGCTGGAAGGAAAACAGTTTGTTTTCATGTATGAGGTATGCATCCTTCCTCTCAACTGTAGAGTGCTGACTTTCCCTGTCGGGATGGGATAGTATTTCTGTGGGGATTAGCAAAGCACATCCAGGGCTCTGCCAGGACATGTCAGCCCTGAAGTTGCATGGCACTTTTCAAAGTAAGCTGCCAGTATTGCAGAAAGCCTAAGCTGGGGAGGAAAATGAGTGAGTAACCTGATCACTGGAATTCAGATGTCTGGAGTTAGGTTTACAAAGTCCTGAGGCTGAGTAAGTAGACTCTTTTTGGGATGTGTTCTTACTAAATCTGAACCTACAAGTTGTAGCATAATGTGTGTATGCCATGCATATATTTTATGTATATAGTGTATACTGTACTTTGAAAAGCCATCATGAGCTTTCAGGAGTGAAAAAGACAGTCCATGTGCTAAATCACTTGGAATCACCCATACCCAAAGGATTCTCAGCCTCTGCTTGTGAAGGAAACTGAGCACAGGCTCTTTGCCCCTCTGGCTTCAGCAATCTTCCTGGATACTGCTTTGAATATTGGCATAAAGAATTCCTGCAAGTATAGCTGGGAAAGTCTGAAATCTCTTCCCCTCCCTCCCCCATCTTTATTGCTCTGAAATAATTCCAGCCTCCTGACCGCATTCGCGTCTCAGAAGCAAGAGGCAAATAACTGCTCTGATTTAAATGGGGTGGCTTTGTAATCTGAGCCTGCAGAAATGAGCTTCTCTGCTCACCCAGAACAAAGCTGTGCAAAGACAGAGCTCGTTCCCAATTACCTGTTGAGTGTCTTTTGTCCGAGCTCATTTATTTTATCCGTAGGCATCAAAGGGAGACGGAACGCAAATGTTGGCGTTAATTTGCATTTAATGGCCTATTGCTCACAACGTCTCTGCATTAAATTAGGAGATTTGGAGCATCTCCGCCTCTGAGGCTGCAGGCAATGATGCTGTGCTAGAAAGTCCGGGGAACTCGCAGCGCAGAACGTCTTGGGAGAGTTTCTGTGGCTTTTGTGTTGGATGGGAAGGCGGGTTGTGGCTGGTCACTGCCGAGCGCACAGAGTGGGAGACCACAAAAAGCTGTGTGCCTCGGCACAGCTGCAACAGTCTGCTGGGATGGAGGTCTGGGAATGTGTGTGGTGGGTCCAAGCCCATCACCTTCAAGGAGCTGGAGGGCTGGGATGGGAAATGGTTTCATTCCCTGGGTCAGAGCTGTGTCTACAGGGGGTTTTGCAGATTGACGTGGATTTGCTTGGTCACTGGTCAGCCCAAAGCCAGGCTGATGAGCCCAAGGCAGCTCTGGGATGTTGTTGGAATCTGGGTTGCTGAGTGTGTTTAATGATAAGCTGTTCTGGGAGGCCTGGGCTGTGAGCTCAGTGAGATGAGCTCATGTTTGCTTTACACAGATAGTGTGGACACACCAAGTTCCAGGAGACACTGCGTTTTCCTCTTCTCTTATCCAAGGGTGCACAGTCCCTCCCCATCCCAGCTATAACTGCCTGAGACTGTGTCCAGGTACTCAGAATGAACACTTGATGGTTTTTTAAATGTGTTTGAGAGCCTGAATACCCTCCAGCCCTCCAAACAGGCTCTGACAGGTCCTTTGATATGTTTGAGATCAGAAGTTGCTTTTTTCTGGAGAAGACAGGACTTGGAAAGAGTAGCTGGTTGTGATGGTAAATGTCCAAAAGGACAATCTTGTGCTGGCACGTGAATGGGCTGGAGACACATTACAAGGCCTCTCTTCTCTTTGGTTTTATTTGTAGGAATGTGTGGTAATATTTTAATCCCAACAAATTATCCTCTGAGGGCTGTTCTGAATAGAGCAGCTGTCAGTAATTACACAATGAATTCAGGGCACTGGCTGCTGGGCCCAGCAAGTCTGGCCTTTAGAACAAATACACTCCTGGGCAGCGGAGCCAGCAGAGCTGCTTTCCTGTTTGCCTTTGTGTCATGTTTGAGTGGTGCTTTGGCTTCCAGCTGGGTGATATTCCATGAGGAGTGATCTCACACTAATGTCCTTCCCTCAGTGGGAACAGAAATGGGATTTGTCACTTCCAGCCTCATGCCTCTTTCAGTGAGAGTGAGTTTAGCTGGGACTTTGCCCCCCCGATGCATCTGGATCCGTTGGTGAACTCTGCAGTTAGGCTGGAAGGAGGTGGGGAGATGGGACTGGGAGACTCAGACCCACTCTTCTTGGTTCAGAACTTGGACCAAAAATCTGCAGCTATGTAGTAGTGGAGGGCAGAAATACATCCACCGTTGGAATTCTCCTTGATGGGAAAGCCTGGAGATATCCCAACAGTAAGGACAATGGATGGAAAATCAACACCAAAGCTCTGATTGCACATTAGAACTCTTGCAAGTCTCAGAAATAGGTGTCATCAGCAAGTGCTGGGATCTCCAACCCTGACTTTTAATTTTTAAATTTTTTTTTTAACATATTGCCAAGAATATCTTGAGTTTTAGGGTGGGTAGTCTGGATGGCTTCTTGAGCTCTCCCAGGTGTGTTTGTGTGTTTTCTGCTGACCTGTGTACAGCATTTCCCAAGAAGCATGGCATAAACCAGGCCAAATCATAGACCCTTTAGTACCCTGGACTTTCAAGACAATGAAATATCTTGGGAAACGTGATTTTAGGTTGGGGCACATCACTGAACTGTGCTGGCTCCACCAGGACAGGCCAGCCATGTACTTGTGAACTGCAATTTAACCTTTCTCCAGTAACTGCTGTTGGTTTAGTCACCTGATCTAATAAGTCTGAAATGAAAAAATGACCTGTTGTTTTCTCTCCCCACACCTTGAAGACCTGGGATGATGAGCTGGAAAGATCAGCCCACGCCTGGGCTCAGCAGTGCATCTGGGACCACGGGCCCAGTGACCTCATCAGGTCCATCGGGCAGAACTTGGCAGTTCACTGGGGCAGGTAAGAGCTGGGGGGCTACAAAATCACTGCAAAGAGCCATTTATGGATCCTCCTTTAGAGACAGCTGGAAAAGTTTGCTTTGATGCTTGGCAGAGCACTGGGGAAAGGGAATAAAAGCTGAGGATCATTAATTGTGATTGATTTGGTGGAGCAGTTATCCCAGTAACACCTGCAGCCGCCACAGTTCCCAGCAAAGCAGCACTGATTTGGGCTCCTCCATCTGTATCTCTGGGTAACACAGCTCTAACCTGCTTAAGGTCACTCCTACTCCTTAAGAACAGCTGCAGAAGTCTTAACCCTTGCTCCTAAATCTGCTGTTTCAGGGAGGGGTTCTGGCGTCATGTAGAGAACCAGGGGAAAGCTGAAGTTTCTCAGGAGCCATGCCTGGACTCAGCTGCTAGTTATGAATTTAATTATCTCTTGCTGTATTTTCAACAAATATTTATCCAGCTTCTAATTTCTCTTTACTGAGAACACTTTGCAGATTTTTTTTTTTCAACTTCCTGGGGCAAATTTTTATACTAGAGTTGTTAACCCAGTTAGGAAAGCTGATGTTAAGGCTTCCAAATGGATTTTCCTCTCCATCTCAAAGTGAAATTTCTTTATTGTTAAGCCCCTGTTGTTAAGCCTATTATAGGTTAAACCTGCTTTGCACAGCAAACATCTTGTACTTGCTCAGGAGCCCCGAGGGATTTCCACCCATTTCCTGGGTGGAAAGGCGGTTATGATTGTTGTAAATCAGGTAGAACTTGGTGGAAAGCAATGGAAATTTGCTGGTGTGAAATTAACCTGATATAAAAATCGGGCCCGTTTTTGTTGGCATAATCAACTAATGATTGGAAAGCAGAGTGGTTAATCCATTGGAAACAAAGTCAAAAGATCGTGCTGTTCTTGGCTCTCCTACAAGTGTTCAGGATGGCCATGGGTTCCTGATGGAGGTAGATCCAGTCTTGCTCCCTTTGCAGCCACTGAGAGGAAAGAGAAATCAGATTTATCTCAGCTTTTTCAGGAACGGGCCATAACTTGATTGCCTCAATTTCCTCTCCTGTAAAGTAGGACTCGGAAAGTATTCGCCTCATGACATCATGAGATGGATGTTTTCAAAATACTTCTAATGAATGATTTTTAATGAAAAGTTGGCCGAAAGAATGAGCTCCAGTTGGTAATGATATCATTTGGAGTTCTGGCAGCTTGCTCCCTGTGAGCTGTTGAAAGCAATAAAAAGCAGTGGCTTTGGTACAGTTTGCAGATCACTCTGTTTGCTCTGTGTATGTAGAGTGTAAAATACATGTGAGTTTCTACAGGTAGTTTTGACACCATTTGTGCTCCCCAAACAGCACAAGCAGCATCAGCACTGCCCCAGGCTGTGGTACCTGGGGCATAGGTTACACAAAGTACATGGAGGGGCTTGGTGCAGGGGGACATTCCTGCAATAAAAGGTGGGGTAGGAGTGCAGTCCTCCAGCTACTCTTCACCAGCTCGTGGTGGGATGTGAGTGTGGAAAAGCCCACTCACTTTCAAAGGTCTTTACAGTATTAGCTCTGGGGGTACTTCCACATTTAGCAAATTACCTGGTGGTAAAATAGGTACAAGATGGCTTTTGGTTTAAGATGTTTGGCAAACCCTCACTTCTGTTTACTTTCAAAATACAACTTTCCGCCAAACTAGAAGTTATTTTGTAGTTGTGTGGAAAAGTGAGGAGGGCATTTCAGGGCAGTGGCACTTGAGGATCATGTCAAACCTATAAATAATACAGAGTCAGGGCAGGCTGTGAATCTGAGGGAAAAAATCATTAGAAACACACAACAGTTTGGATTGGAAGGGACCTAAAAGATCATGCAGTTCCAGCTATGCTGCCACGGGCAGGGACACCTTCCATTGGACCAGGTTGCTCCAAGCCCTGTCCAACACGGGCTTGAAAGCTTCCAGGGATGAGGCAGCTTCTCTGGGCAACCTGTGCCAGGGCCTCACCACCCTCCCAGGGAGGAATTTCTTCCCAATATCTAACCTTAACCATCATCACTAACATTTTCAATGAGATTTTTTTTCTTATTCGAAAATTTCTACCCGAACGTCATGACTTAAACTGCCTTTTTGCCTCCTTCAGGTATCGATCCCCAGCTTTCCACGTCCAGTCTTGGTATGATGAAGTCAAAGATTACACATTCCCTCATCCTCATGAGTGCAACCCGTGGTGCCCAGACAAGTGCACAGGCGCTATGTGCACACACTACACCCAGGTAGAGGACACCATTGTACCCAAACTCTCCACGTGTCCCAGCTGTGCCTGGATTGGGGTGATTTCCTTATTTTTCAATAACTGTATTGCCCTTGCAGATAGTCTGGGCCACGACCAACAAGATTGGCTGTGCCGTGAACGTCTGCAAGCAGATGAATGTCTGGGGAGAAATCTGGGAGAACGCTGTCTACCTGGTCTGCAACTACTCCCCCAAGTAAGGCAGAGCAGCTGGGCTCTCTCCAGCTCTCCCAAAACTGGCAGGTTGCTTAACAGGCCCAGGATCTGGGGAAGAGATTTCAGGCAGTCTAGACTGGTGGTTGTGGCTTTAAATTTTCTCTTTAGGCAGCAGCACAGGGCTGGTTCAAAACTACCGAGCGCTGCCTGGAAAACTGAATGAGGGGCCTGGGCCAGGCTGGAGCTTTGAAGTTCCTGCCACGGGAAGGGAAGGAGGAGCAGGAGGTGGCCAGGATGGAGCTGGCGTGTGCTGCTGAGCGAGGCTTGCTCTCTGCTGTCAGAGGGTGGGATGGGATGGGGTGGTGGTGAACGCCAAAAAAACCCTGAAATAACTGCATCAGTGAAAATCTCGCTAGCTCGATGGCTTGCTTAAATTGCAAAATGAAAATGACATTTCTTGCCTACTTTACAACCAGGAGAAGTTTCCCACCTGGCAATGGCAGTTAATATTTTCTGGTTTAGTGGCTAATAGCACAAACGTCCACTCCAAGCCCTTGGCAATTTAAAACTTCAAAACAAAATGAAATAGGGAAATTGCTTATACACAAACGGAGTGGCTTGGACAGCATCTGACTTCTGGGGATCATAGTGCAGAATAATGCAAAGGAAAAAGGTGTGTGGATGTAGAGCTGTCATGACCTCTCTGGGTGTGTTGTCTAAGCCCCTCTCCCCATGTCAGATACTCGTTTTGCTCATGGTTTGGAGTGGTTTAACAACCTGCTCCCCACGAGGGATCACACCATCTCCTGCAGAGCTCCCACAGCAGGCTGGGCCATTTGCACGTCATCCATTCAGGGCTGCTGAATGGAAAAATACTCTATTCCTGCAGTTTCTGCTTAATCTTTTCTCTCTGGCATCGGTGCACATTGTCCTCATCTAGCCTTATAGGTGGAGACAGCTGAAAGAGCAATAACCCAGGAGTTCGTAGCCATGGGCTTAACTCCGGCTCCTTCAACTTCCCTGGCCCCTAAAATTTGCCGGATAAAGTGCCAAAATGGGCTTTTATTTTCAGTAGTTTTTCTGAGAAAAATGCAGTAATCCACCGATTTATTTCTGTTTACACAAGATCCCTGTATTTATATTGGAAGATGATACAAAAGTGATACTGCACGCGATTTATTTATGTGTAAATATTTATTTGTATGTAATGACACCTAAAAATGTCATTTTTGGAGGTGACATGAGGAAGAGCATTTTTTTTTTTTCCTACAAGGCTTTCCTGGGCTTTTCATTTAGTCTTTGCTTAGTTGCTCTGGGCCAGGTGATGTTTCTGATCTTGGGTGTGGGTGTTTGGGTGCCTGATGGGTGCACGTCGCTCCTGTGCTTGCAGGGGCAACTGGATTGGAGAAGCTCCCTACAAGACCGGCCGTCCCTGCTCTGAGTGCCCCCCGAGCTATGGAGGAGGCTGCCAGCACAACCTCTGCTACAAAGGTAGGTGGTGAGGGGCTCGGGGCACCCTCTGGGACAGGGAAAACTGCTGAGCAAGGATGTGGAAACTTCTAATTAGAAGCAGCCAGAGCGTTGTGCACCTTTTAATTGGTCATCCTTGAATATTTCGACATCACGGCACGGGGGAAATCGTCAGCCACTGCTGGAACTGAAAATCCAGGAACTGCTTAAAATCTGGAGCTTGGATTCAGAATGTTTTCCTGGGGAAAATGAAAGAGCAGGGATGGGGGGGAAGCAGCTCTGAGCTTCCAAGGGTTTGGCTCGGGAGCTCCAGCGGGATTTTGAGCACTGGCAGGAGCGATCCCGTCCTTGCGGGGTTTGTTTGGGAAGGGAATGTTCTCCAGTGCTTCCCAGAGGTGACGTGGGTGGGCAGAGCTTGGCCGCCTGCCCTGCTCCTTCGGGGGCCAGGGATGGAGCCTTTTCCTCCCTCCCCACCTCGGTTTTCACGGCTGCAAAATGAATGCAGCAATTCCTGTCTCTCAGAGGAGAGAAGGGGATCCTGGATGGCTTTTCCTGACCTGTGGAAAGAAAGGTCAGGAGAGCAAAACATATTAATGTGAGCCCTCCAGTACAGCAGCGCTGTCCCTCAGCACGCTGGAGCTCCTGGGGTCATTTTTCTCCTCCCACATATTTGGCTTCAGAGAGAACTGGGCTCCTGGAAAGAGGCAGGTTCCCTGGAGACTTGCCTCAAGCGGATGCTTATTTTGCTGCAACCTGGTATTTCTCATTTTTCACCTTGTGGGGTTTGGGGGAGAAGCCCAGGGTGCAGGTGAGCTGCAGTGGGGAGAAGGGAAGGGATGCCCTGATGGAATATGTACCCTTCAACTAATTTGTGTTTTCCCTCTGAGGGAAGAGCTTTGTAGAAAACAGGAGCAGCAATATCAGCACTTTTTTTTCACTAATTAGTGGGGATCCTTTCAAATCTTTACTGTAAGATGCTATAAATGCTGCTTCATGCCCAGAGGAGCAGGAGAGGAGCAACCTCCCCTCACACTCCCTGGGAATAGCCCTGTGCTGCATCTATTGGGCATTTTTGATCTTTCAGCTGTTTCAAAGCAGATCCTTGTCAAACTAAATCACCTCCCTCAAAACATGAACCTGCCTGATTTCCCCACCACTGTGAACACACTGTAATTATTTCTAATCCTCTTTCCTAACCAGATTACCGTTATGAAGATCCCATCATGGGTGAGACAGATGAGACTAATGAAGTGGAAATTCCACAGCTGGCAGAGCAAAAGCCAGTGAGGTTCTACCCTCCAGAAAGCAAGCCCAGCAAATCCATCAAGCCCAAGAAAATCATCCCAGAATCCTACATGAGTAAGAAAACCTCTCTGTTTTTCAGCTTCTATGAGTTTTTAAGTACCTCAGAGGGAAGAAGTGTGGAAAGGGGTGAGGAGGCTCAGGGGAAAAAAATAACTGGGAGGATGTTTGAGTGGAGGGGGAGGTAATTTGTGTGAAAATTCACCACTGCTTGTAGCAGAAACCTGCCAGAAGTGGTGAGCAAAGCTTTCAAAAGCTGTTCGTGCCTTCTGCACATCAATCTGCAGCAGGTATTTGTTTGTTTAAGCCATTTCATAGAATCACAGGTCGGTTTGGGTTGGAAGGGACCTTAAAGATCATTTTGTTCCAACCCCCTGCCATGGGCAGTGACACCTTCCACTAGCCCAGGTTGCTCCAAGCCCCATCCAACCTGGCCTTGGACCCTTCCAGGGATGGGGCAGCTGCAGTTTCTCTGAGCAACCTGTGCCAGGGCCTCACCACCCTCACAGGGGAGAATGACTTCCTAATATCTCACCTTACCCTGCCCTCTGGCCGTGGGAAGCCATTCCCCCTTTCCTGTCCCTGCAGACCCTTGTCCAAAGTCACTCTCCAGCTCTCTTGGAGCCCCTTTAGGCACTGGAAGGGGCTCTGAGGTCTCCCTGGAGCCTTCTCTTCTCCAGACTGAACACTCCCAGCTCTCCCAGCCTGTCCATGGCAGAGATGCCCCAGCCCTTGGAACATCTCCTTGGCATCATCTGGACTCACTCCAGCAGGTCCATGTCTTCCTAATCTCAAGAAAATATCAATGTACCAAAGTTCCCCCTGCTAGGAATCAATTTACAAAATACTAGTTTTATTTCCCATTTAAAACACTCTGCACTCAGCAGTTCTTCACAGTTTTTCTGGGGTTTATAGTTTGTTTCCTCTTTATTTTTTGCTTGGGAAGATTTCTGAAGTTGTTTGTGGAGCTGCTGGTACTTCCTCAGTTGTTTTCTAACTGTTGTTAATTAAAAGAGACTTATTGAGCAAACAAGGTGAGGCAAGCCGACACATCCTTTTCAAGTTTATCTGCTGGAATCTGGAGAGTCTGTAATTAAATGGAGAATGAGACTCTGACTGCAGACCTCGGGCTGTAAATCAAAGCCTCCAGCTGTCAGATGCTTCTTCCTTGCTAATATTCCAGAGACACCTGTCTCAGGTGAAGAGCTAAAGAGGCACGAATTGCTCCAGGCTGGATAAAAGAAGATTTTTATCTTACTGCACCGAAGACCTCCAGGAAAGATGTGTGGAGGTCGTTTGGGAGCTGGCTGAGCTCTTTCCTTTTTAAACATTTATATATTTATTTGTTTATTTATTTCTCCCCAGCACAAGTCATTACCTGTGAAACCAAGATGAGAGACAAATGCAGAGGCTCAACGTGCAACAGGTAGGGTTTTATTGCTATTTCTTGGAGCGCTGTGGGAAAAAGTAATCTAAAGATTACTCAGTTGTTGCTGTACTGTGTATTTTTCATGACTGTCTAGGTGGATCTACTAAATAAACCAAACAAAAAAACCAACAAAACCCAACCAAAAACACCCTCTAAATTTCTCCTAATGCAAGCCCTCAGCCAAGCCCAGCAATAAGGTGATTTGGTTTATTTTATTCAGCCGTGATGACCCAGAGCTTCAGGTGGCCAAAATAATTTAGTAAATTTTGGCAGAGTCATTTTTTGAGCCTTTTTCATGCATTCCACTGCTGTCCAAGCCAGACCAATAATTCATGGCTTGTCCCCTCCCAGCCAGTCAAGAACTTCTGGTTAAGGTTTCTGCAAAGAACAGGACAGTTTATCACTTGGAGGAAAACCAAATCCACAGAATCTAAATATTGGGTCGGGCTCTTAAGGAGGGTGGAGAAACTGTTTTAAAAAGTAGCTATTTTGCAATCTTGTTTTTAAAATGGAAGAGTTACGTGAAATGAATGGAATGACTATTAAGTGGAGTCAAAGTCTGTTTTTCTTGAATTGTTTTTTGCCACCCTCAAAGATATATATCTTCACTAGGTACTTGTGCCCAGCTGGCTGCTTGTACAGTAAGGGAAAGATCTTTGGAACATTTTATTATGAAAGTGTAAGTACCTTTGAATAGCTCATGGATGTAATTTGTGGGGAGTTAGTGGTAATAACAGAAATGGGAAATGCCAACCATTCTGGTGTAATTTGGCTTTTCGTATTCTCCACTTGTGGTGCTGTAAAATGGTGCTAATAAAGATTATCTGTGTTTTCCTCATCTTAGTGATGAAATACAAAGGAGTTTGGGAAAGCAAAGTGATTCCAGACGTGATTTTTGTCATGAGTTGTCTTTAATGTGGACAGCCATGGAAAGGGAGGGATGGGGATCAATAGGCAGCTGTTCATTAGTGTGGGCAGCTTTTTATGAAAAACACTGTTAAATGTTGCAACCAGATAATATTTTGGGCTGATTTGCTGGATCTTGAGTTAGCAAGATAATTTATAAATAAAGCATGGCACTGTTTTGCCATCAAAACAACTTTTGGGGTGAATAAAGGTTGAAGACAAAAGTTTTTTGTGTAAAATCGAGTTTTCTTTCCCCATTCCAACTGTTGGTGTGTGACTGCATCACCCCTGCAGCTTCTGTGATTGCAGACAGCCATCTCCTCCAAGTGGTGTCAGCAGAAATATTTTGGGTTGGAATATTTTGTTGACAACTGGAAATATTTCAGACTGGTCGTTCACTTCCAACACTGCTTTTCTTCTAAATTGTATTTAAATGTATGGTTTTGTTATTTAAAAAAAAAAAAAAGCCATTCAACCAGGCAGTGCTTAAAATAATAATAGTAATAAAAGAATAAGGCTGTGCTGGGAGAGTAAGGTTTAACAACCAGATTCCAAAGGAGTGTACTCAGCTCATTTTCCACTTGGTGCTTTGGTGGTGGTTTAATTTCTCCTTCGCTTTTCGCCCAGTGGTTGGGCACATTTATTTCACACACTATTTATTTGTGCCCTTGTCAGTCATCAAGCATTTGTCGTGCTGCCATCCATTATGGCATCCTGGATAACAAAGGAGGACTGGTGGATATCACGAGGAAGGGGAGAACACCTGCTTTTGTGAAGTCCACCAGGAACGGCGTGGAGTCCTTTAGGTACGGCCTTCAGCGAAAAGTTTGGTGTGTGCTTTAAACACCAAATGTATTCGAGCTCCAAATGATGTTGAATTCTCTGTTGAGTAGTGATCCAAGTCATTCTGCTATGCTCATTTTTTGACTCTGTTATTTTCTTTGCTTGTTTTGCAGGAAAAGTAAACCTTCCAACGCGTTCATGGTTTCCAAAGTCACAAGTAAGTTTCGAAAGTTGAGGGGAAAAAATATTGTTGCTGAAGTTTTGTGGGATGTTTGAAAACATCACTCTTTTCCATCCTCTTTTTGAGTGGTTGTGTCAAATAGTTCTGTACCACAGCCAAACCCTGGAGTGGTGATCTAGGTGTGATCCAGAGCCCTGGAGTGATTGCCTACCCACTATGGGCAGCTCCACCACCTCATTTTTTCTGTGGGTATTTCAGAGGAAGGCACAGAAAATTGTGATAATGGGCCATTCCCAGCAGCATCTCCTGGGGATGGATCACGGTGGGGTCCAAACTTGAGCTGCAGTGTCATAAGCTGCTGATAGCAAAGGGATGGGAGATGAGCCATCCATGTATCAAAACCTCAGTCCAGTGTGAACACTTCCAAAAACTGAGAAAAAAAAAAGAAATAGTGGCTAATGTCCCAGTGCAATATTGTAATGAAACACATAATACACATGCAATTAGTTTCTAACAGTGAGTCATCACATTTCTGATGAGCACATAAATAAATACTGTGGAGCTCTACTTTTTAAACAATTCCCACTTCTGAATATCTTTGAAAAACTCCTCCTACACAGAATCATCACTTTGAATAGATCCACCTGAGCCATTTTCAGGGAGAGCTGTAGGGGTCAGGTTGTTTGGACTCCACACCTGGAGCAGTAGCAAAAGCACATGTTGTGGATCATCTGCTTTTCCCTTTTGGAAGCTGTGACCTTTTCAAGGCCATACTGTATTCTGGTGCCAGGATTCCTGCTGGAGAGCTGGGCAACCCTCTCCTGGGTCTTTGCTGCTGGTGTGGGAATGAGCAGCTTTCCCCTTGGTGCCCTCAGCTGGGTCTCACCAGATGTGTTGTGTGACTGTGATGTGTGCTTTCTGCAGCTGCCTGAGCTTTTAGGTCTAATAATTTGCCTCTCCCTGTTTCTCCTGGCAGCACAGACACTGGACTGTTACACCACAGTAGCTGAGTTGTGCCACTTCAAAAAGCCAGCGAGCCACTGCCCCAGGTAACCCAAACCCATCTGGATTCAGATTAAACCTGCTCTGCTCCAAAGAGAGTCAGCTTAACAGGGGATGCTGAGCTCCCTGAATCTGAGGGCTAGTGGGAGTAGAGCTGATTTTACTGGATGAACTGGAGGAGGGGGTTGGGAATGGCGTGTTTCCTCCTGCCACCCTGCTTTTCTTGCCATCACAACAGAAAACTCAAGTTCTGTTTTCGGATTGCTTCAGTAACGTGTAAGTCAGGCTACGGGATCCCATCCCTGCACACCCCAGTGCACAAGTGTGCAACTCCACACTCTGCCTTTACTCTCTTACAGGTACTAGTTTTGGGATGTGGGACTTTTTTCTACTTTAAAGAATGTTCTAGAAAGCTGCTCTTGGCAGGGCAGGGCAGCACAAACATGCAAAGACTTACATGCACAGCATTGTGCAAAACTGCAGGTGCTCCCCTTTGAAAAGGTCATAAAAGACCAATCCCTCTTTTACTGGTCTAAATCCCTCTATTTGCAGTTCTGCAGTAACAACCGAATGTCATCTGAGGGGAACAAATAATTAAATTCACTGTTGCCACCTGCAGACCAGATGCAGGCACTTGAAATGTCCCAGGAATGCAGCCTGCTTTCCTGTTCAGCCTCGGTGTGGAGAATAAATATGAATAACTTGTTTTCTAGGATTTATTGTCCAGCCCACTGCAAGGACGAGCCGTCGTACTGGGCACCCGTGTTTGGCACCAACGTTTATGCAGATGTGAGTGTGATCCTCCCCCTCTGACCCCGTGTGTGGTGATATCTGTGTCACAATGCTGGGGTCATGCTCTGGGATTTAGGGGAAAAAAAGCCAAACTCCCTGTGATCACTGTGGAGATGGGTAAATTGGGGATGAAGGCTGAGGTCAACAAGCTTGTGCAGCCCTTCTGCTCTCCAACACTGACTTATTCTTAAGGATTTGAAAGTGTCACTTAACAACTCCATGAATTGCAGTTAACAGGCTTGGGGAGCCCTTCTACCCTTCAACACCAATTTACTCTTGGACACTTGGGCACATCATTTAACCATTCCCTGCCTTATGGGCTCTGGCTGTGAAGTCATGGCAGCACTTGTCCACCTTTGCAAAGCACCTGGGGATCTACAGCTGTGCACCAAAGGGCTTTTATTATATACTATCACACTATAGAGCTGGCAAAGCCAGGCCTTCTTTCCCCTCCCCTGTCCACTTTTTGGGAGCTAAACAGCATTTCTGACAGAGCTCAGAGCAGTGGAAAGAAGGCGTGTGGTCTGCTTTTATGGGTTTGTTTTTCTAAACTCTGCTCCTGGGGATGAGCAGAGACTTGATGCTAAACTAGGCAGAGGCAGTTTCTTGAAATCTCTTAATATGAGGCCTCTAAAAACTGAGTCTCAATGTTTTTCCATTTGTAGGTGCCTGGTTGTTATGTTTTTCTCCTCCCTTTTCTTTCCCCTGTTGGATATTGTGTCCAGAAATTCCAGCTCCCTGGCTGCTCTGTGCCCTGTAGGAACGTGTTTTTTCAAAGCCCTGGGGGAAGCAAAGCTTGTGGACCCCCAGCTTGGGGTCACCTTGGAGCTTTGCAGACTCCTGAGGAAAAACCACCCTGCAGAAATCACACAGTGATTTTGGGAAGCAATTTTGAGAGCAATTTTTTTTAAAAAAGACACTATTTTTTTTTAATTTTGCCTGAGACCCCTATTTTAAAGGAAGAACTGCACAAACAGGTTGTCCTGGACTGGCTCAGGGGCAAATCCATCAGGCAGCTGCTGCCCTGCAGTACCTGCCTCCCTGTGTGCTCCCACCTGCAGGAAATGGGAAATAGTTTTCTCTTTTTTACTGAGGACAAAACTACCTCAGATTACCCCTGAATTACAAAGGTATTAGGGGAGGAGCAGCAACCCAGGCTGGCACTGCACTGACGCAGAAGGATTAGTGTCCTTTAATGAACCACGAGCTCCATTTCCTATCGTCCCTGCTGGGTATTGTTTCATAAATGGGGGCATGGATGGTGATTTGGGAGAAAACCAAAAAATAATAATGATAAAAAAGTATTTGGCCACTTCCTAGAGGGTTTGGTGAGCCGTTTTCTGGACTACTGGACTAACAGGGTGATGTGGGGGTGCTAAGAAAGCACTGAGGTGGTCAGGAGGGTGTGAGGTTGGCATAAAAGCAGGGGGAACCAGCTGGGAAAAAGAACTGGAGGTGTCTCTGGATGGGGCTGCAAAGAGTGAGGTGTTGATGCTGGGAGTGCTCAGACTGGGAAACTGAGAAGAGAAACACAACACCAGGCAGGGAGACTTTGGGGAAAGGGTTTCCCAGGGAGCACGGGCTGTGCAGAATGCTCTCCAGCAGGGGATGCTGGGAATTAACCCAAACCCACTGCTGAGGAATAATTAAAGCAGGCAAGGAGCTGGATGAGACAAGTGCTGGTTCTGGGAAGGGCTCTGGGAAACCAATCCATGTCTAGCGTGGCACCTTCATGGCCCTGGGGGGACTTGTGCTCCAACTCTGTCTTATTAAATAAGTTATCTAAAAGAAAGTGGAGCATTTGGCCCCATTTCCAGTCTGCAGTCCCTGCAAGGTGCCCTCTGGTCTTTTAACACCTTCTCTAATATATTAATTCACTAAATACTCAGGCTGATAATCAGTCTGAGCTGTGGTGACACAAATGCTTGGTTGGTTCATGGAACAACAGGATCCACTGTGCTTTTGACCCAAGATAGTGTTCACATTTATGTGGTCCCTGGAAGATATATAAATATATAAATTTGTTTTGCCATGAAGAAAACGTCTGTGACATGAGGAATTGATGGCTTTTATGGATAATTCTGATTTTTATTCAAGGGGCACAGGAGACCCTATCTCGGTTTGTGTAAAGGGATTTTTACCCATCCTAAAAGCATTCTGATCGAGTTTTTTGTTCACTTATCATTCTAAAATTATCTTGGATTGTGAGTTTATACATGGGTGCTTCTGGTGGCTCAAAATGTAGAGAGACATTGGCAGCCTTTGCTTTAAAAAGCAGTGCAGGGAATTGTTCATGGGGAAATAAGGAGTGGAACAGGGACTGGGACATAGAGGAGACTTAAATTTGGGGTTAACGAACAAAATGCAAGCAATATGCAATGACCCAGTGTTTCAACCCCCTGCCATGACCTTGATGCTGCAGCTCTGTGAACACCCACGGGTGTTTCTAAAGGTTGTAAGAGAGCTTTTGGGTTTCATGAGATGCTGTAATTTGTCACTCTGCCCGGCTCCTGGTGTGACATAGGCCTGAAGGGAAACCCATCCCCATCCCTGCCCAGGATGGGCATGGGAGGCAGGAAAGAACAATTCTCTGCTTTTGAGATAAGGTCTTTTATCCACAGTTATGCAACAATTGGTTGGAGGGGGATGGATCCACCCCAATAATGGGGCAGGTGTTTGTCACTGGAGCAAACCAAGTGGGGAGGCTCAGCTCTCAGGAAACACAAACTCAGTGATTAAACCAGTCACACTGATGAAGAAATTCTGGGTGATTAAGCTCATAGTCACAGAATATTGTTAATGACCCACTGTAAAGTGCACTGTCATTTTATAGTGGGTGCTCTGGAGTCCACTTTGTCAGGAAGTGCTCTCAGAGCATCCCAAGAGGCTTCACTATGGAAAGCCATTGTGTTGCCCATACAGCTGTTGTACTCCTAAATTTGGGCAGGAAGGCCTAATTCTTGTAGTATCTCATCTTCCAAAAGCTCTGCAATCAATTTATCAAAGCACAGCCCGGCCTGGGATATGAGAGGGCTCTAATCCAACACAGTGATAAGAGGAGGTTTGGGGTAAGGCAATAAAAAGTCTGTTGGTCAAAGCTTTGAGTAAGCAGCAGAACAGCAAGTCCTGGAAAAAAACCCAGGAATGCTTTGAACATTGTTTAGGATGTCTCCCAGTGGAGAAGGTTGCAAATTGATTCAGGACAGTTTAATTTTTATGAGCCAGATTTAGATTTACAGATTTCCCATCGCATTTCTAGGGCGGATTCACTGCGTATCTTCCAAACACAGCGTTCTCTTGCTCCCCTGACCATATATAGAAACAAAATACCAAACTGGCACTCAAAACTCAGAGAGCTGCCAAGAGATAGGCCATCCAAAGTGAAAAATATATAGGGGACAAGGCAAAGCTGCCATATATGGCTGTGAGAATGAAACAGCACAGTCTGTATTGTACATACAGTTTGCCCTTGGCACTGCTTTTGTGGTACTTGGATTTTTAGCCATCAGGGAGGGGCTGGGGTTGGGATTTTCACCTGCTGCAGTTCCCTGTGCAAAGCTGGTTTTTGCTTTGTGTTATTCTAACTTGTTCTATGTAAATCCTCTAGAGCTGATGGCCAAGTTTATACTGTGCCTCAGCCTTCTCTGCTTTTGCTCTCTTTTTCTGGATGCTTTGGGAGCTTAGTCATCAGTTGTTAGTGTTTCATGTTCCTCCAGCTCTTCTGACTCTGCACATCTTGGAGAGCAGGGGAATGATGTGCAGTAGAGGAGCTTTAGTCTTTCCAGAAGTGTCAATCTTCCACACTGGATTTTGTCTTACAGGGTAATACCTGTCCAAAAAAACTACACCATTCAATGGATACAGTCCTTCTATTTTTCCTAGAAAGAAGGATTTGAACTCTTCTGGATAATTAGTGGTCATTTACCTTAATTCAGGAAAAGAGTTTCCTTTTCAAGCAACTGTGTGATTAAACTCTGCTGAGGTGGCTGGTCTCTAGCAAAGAGTTTCACCTCAGTGGTTTCTCTGGTGCTGACCCAAGAGGCCCTGGCTGAAAAGTTGTCCTCAATTCAACTTTGACCCAGGATAAGGTGAATAAGTGTGGATTTAGATTGGATATTAGGAAGAAATTCTTCCCTGTGAGGGTGGTGAGGCCCTGGCACAGGTTGGCCAGAGAAGCTGTGGCTGCCCCATCCCTGGAAATGACTGGATAGATCCTAGAGCAACCTGGTCTAGTGGAAGGTGTCCTTGCCTATGGCAGGGGGTGGGAATGAGATGATCTTTAAGGTCCCTTCCAACCCAAACCATTCTATGATTCTGTGATAGTCTCCCAAGTGCATCTCCACCTCAGAGAGGAGCCATGGAAAGGCTGCTTGTCCTCTGCAGTGACAGTAGATCTTTTTATGAAGTACCTGCAAAATCTGCTCCATGACATCTTTTATCCCTAGTTGGTCCAAAAGAGGGACAGAATTCTTTCATAACTGTTTCTTTTTTTATTCCCTGGTTTTCCTTGGTGTGGGTGGAGATAGTAAATGTCCATATAGAAAATATGGAGAGTGTGTAAGTTAAGATAATTAAATGTTTTTCAGAGCTCCAGTATCTGCAAAACTGCAGTGCATGCAGGAGTCATTTCAGATGAAAGAGGTGGCTTTGTGGACGTGATGCCTGTAGAAAAGAAGAAGAGTTACGTTGGCTCCTTAAAGAACGGCGTCCAGTCGGAGAGGTGGGATTTTTTTTTCCTTTGTACTTTCCTCTTATTTTCCACACTGAGTTCAGTAGCGTGTTAAAATCAGCAGATATCAGCTAGGAAGGCTGGTGGATTGGAAATATGTGACTTCAGAGTGCCACTGTGGATTTGGAGCCGCCAAACAAATAGAGCGTGTTGTCCTGCTCTTACCTTCCCCGAGTGAGGAGCTGCCCTCAGATCCGTGTGAAAGGCGGGGGATATGGTTAAGACTTGTTTGATACTCTTACAAGTCCACATTAATACATTTTGCTGTGCCTTTGAGACATTAAAAGCTAGGCACAGGTGTTTTTTCAGCTTTCAGCCTGGATCATGTTTTCAGGCTCATGATTGGAATTTCCATTCCGTTCTGGGGTGTGGGATGCACCTCTGTGTGTTAACTCACGTCCTCTATTCTCTTGAAGAACAGTCTCTAAAGAAACATGAGTAAAGTAATGCTTTCAGAGATGATTAAACACTTCTTGAGGATGGATTTGCCATCCTGGTAATTTTTTGTAGTTTCTTCTAGGCCAACCTTGCTGGTTTCAGCGACCAGTTGCAAATCACTTCCCAAATCCCTCACCTCCTGATGACCAAATCATGAGCTCATTCAGTCCTTTCTAATTTGAAACTCCTGTTTCAACCTGTGATGCATTTATTTTGGTCAGATATTGGTGTGAAGGTACTAATTTCTCAAAGCTATTCTTGCAAGTATAGAATTTCCCACTATTATGGGGGGTTTTGATCACTATTAACTTTGCCTGCTCTGTGCAGTTCCACTTTTATAAACACCATAAGAAATCCTATCAAATTTGCTGGTTTTTTTGTACTAATGGATATCCCAGAATGCTGTGGAGCATCTCAGGAAATAAAAATAGACTAAGAGAACAAAAATTTGGGTGTTAAATATGTTTGTGGTTTTTTTAGTATAGATCTATCAGGGTCAGCATTTTGCAATTCTGTGATTTGCAATTCAGTATATGGGATTTAGGTGAAAAACCTTCTGTTCCTGTGAGGTGCTGGGTTTTTTTTAAATTTTATTTCTGTCTTGTATGCACTTATATTTTATATTAACAGATAACTTTTAACTTGGATGGCAAACTGTGCCCTAGCTAAGAATAAATCCCAACACTAGCAGGGATATGCAATATGAGCAGCCAGTGCTGATCTGGGAGGTGAGGGAAACCAAAGACGTTCTCGCAGCAGGGATGACCAGGAAGATTTGGAAAGTGTTATTTACACTCAGCAATAAGGAACAGCTTCATGCTGTGAGATCCACCAGACTGTGAAATAGCTTTTCAAAGATTAAGGTGAACACTTTACCCTATGGGACATTGGAAGTAACCTTTGGTAAAGATACGCACCCAAACGGGTATGGGAAAAATTACCTTTAGGATTTACTGTGTCTCCATTCTTGCTGGAATGTTTATTTTGCGGGAATATGGAATTTTGTCTTTTTTCCTGGGGCTTTTCAGCCCAGTAGGGCTGAAGAAATAGGACTTGGGGATAGAAACACCCTCTTGCCCCCATGCACACAATGACATGGAATTGGAGTGGCTGGAGACACTTCTGTAGATTGAATATCCATATCTGTAGTCATTTAAGGTGAGCTGATCTGGCTACTCCCCTTGTTAGCTCTGGGAGACAGGCCAGACAAGCCCTGGGAACCTGCCAGCCTATTTGACAACTTTTTTTTTTAGGAAAACGTATTCCTCTTCGTGCCTGAATCTCTGCATGAAAGAGCACAATGTTCCTTGTATACAATCTAGGGCTGTAAGAGGGGCTGTCACCTTCTAGCTCCTTCTGTTGGCATTAGCACTATAGATTTGGATTGAAAACATTAACCAAAGGTGAAATCACGGATTTGTGCCTCTTCTTTTTCATCCTTTATCTTTCTCCTGCTCCTGGTAGGAGTGAGATAGGAGAAATTTGGAGTGGCACTGGGTTGATCTCACTTTGGGTCATGCAGTGTGTTCATTTAGTTCATTCTATGTGTTTTGTTTTTTTTTTTCTGTTTCTGCAGCTTGAAGAATCCTTCAGATGGCAACGCTTTCCGAATTTTTGCCGTGAAGCAGTAAATTCCTAGGGAAGGTGCAGGTTTCTTTGGGAGAGGGCTCTGTCGACCTCCAGGAGACGCGAAAGCTCCTCTGACGGCATCAGCTCTGACCGTACCCTCCTTGCCGATCTCTTTCAGGGAATTCTAAAAGAAAAGGGACTCATACCAAAAAAAAAAAAAAAAAAAAAAAAAAAAAAAAAGACAAAAAAAAAAAGACCCCCCAGGTTCTGACTCAGCTGTTCTGACTCAGCTGTTCTGACTCAGCTGTTCGCATCTCATCGCACCCGTGCAGCGTTGTATCTTTTCGTCTCGTGTTTTCGTTTCTCTAGGGGCATTCAGCAAGGACAAACTGTTCTAACTTCCAATTTACGAGAGGTGTGCTACACAGAACGGCGGTGGCTCAAGGGACAGCAGGTGTAGGGATCTCAGCCTGGCCCTGGATGGCATTTTTAGGGTGTGGAGCATCTACTGTGGCGGGTGTGGGGACGTGCGTGGCCGAGCAGACTGAGAAGTGAGCAACCGTCCAGGCGCTGGACACTTTGAAACTGGTTTAGAAGTTGCATTGCTTGGGGAGAGGATGGGTTTTGAGAGAGTGGTTTTGTGTGGTTTCTGTGCAAAAGAAGAGATAATTTGGTCTTTTCCCAGTGAGGGGGCATGCACCAGCACTGCTGTGTAAGGCGGCTGGGGCATCATGTTGAGTGACGGTGTCACGTTTGTGGGAGAGGACATTCTTTGACAGCCAGACATTGAGGTTTCTGGGGACTGGAGTGGGGGTGTAAAATGGTGGCAGAGAACCTCGCTGCAGAAAATGAGGCCACCAGGTAATCAAAGGAGCAGGTTTAGTGTTTGCTGGTCAAACACTCACAGGTATTTTGCAAGCCTGGCAACTTATGAGAAGTCAGTGAATCGAGGCTCCTGTGCTGGCACATCTCATCCTATATTCCATGCCATTTCAAGTACAGTTAAATGCAGTGTATTGTTTTATACAGCAGTGCTGGTTGTTTTATCTGTAGTAGTTATATAGTGATAAAATTAATCTTATTTCTGCTAGGAATGGTTGCATCCGTGGGAAGCACGTTCACTTTCCCTTTGTGAAGCCCCTTGTGGTGTGTGCAGTTCTGAGACTTCAAAGTTATGGCATAAATTGGGGTAGATTAATTTTTCCTGTCCACTTTGTGAAGCCAGCAGATCCCCACTGCCGGTGTAAATGCTGTACCTGGGAGCACTGGCTGTGCAGGATGGTGGGTTTTGCCAGACTCATAGGTGTTGTAACTATGTTATTTTGGATTTTGGTAATTATGTCTTGACCTGCAGGCAAATGCATTTCAAAGCCAGGAGAAGGGCCTACCATGACCTGCTCTTCTAAGGCAGAAGAATATTCTCTGCTTTATAATGGAAATGAATTTTTAGAGTTGGTCTAAACACAAATCTGGTGGTGTTTTGGTGTCTACACATGACTTCATTAGTCATGAGAAGACAATGTCAACTGTAGTTCTTCCATTCTTGTAAATGCAGAGTTCTTCTACTCAATAACTGAATGATAATATTGTGTAACAAATGGGGAAATATTTCCCTCTATTTGGCATATGTCTCATAGCTGCTCTTACACTCTGAGTATGTTTGATTTATTTTAGACAGATACAAGAGCCATCTCTTCCAGCTATTTCAAAACACAGACCAAAAACATTTATATGATTAAGCACTTCTTTAATTCAGTAAACACCATGAAATCAGCAAGGAAATGACATTTAAATGGCATTTATCACTCAGTTTGTCTCACCATTGGGGATTATTTCTCTGTAAAATCTGAATTTGGAAAGAGACCTTTTGCAAAACATGAAATTGGAGCTTCTTTGCATCGTCTCCAAAAGTACTGCACAGAAAACCTACCTTTGGGGTGGATAGAGAGAAGTGACTCTGTATGTCGTCTCTGTTTATGTAGTATCTTCCTCTAAGATGTACAGTATTCACTTTAGATAGGAAAACTGAGCTATTTTTTTTCTTACTGGGTAAATTGATGTTAAAAAAAACAGCTGGAACATATCTTAGAGAAGCTGCTGGTTGGAAGCATTTGAGATGTTGGCAGTGAGATAAAGCTTCCCTGTTTCTGCCCGCTGTGAATAACTGGGATAGACACGGTCTGGTTCAAGCCCATCCAATGAATCTGGGACCATCACGGGCCAAATGGCAGCCACGGGGCTGTTAATTGAATTGGAAAGAGTAAGAGATGCAATCAGGGTCATGGGGACTGCAAGAGCACATAAAACACCTTGTAGGATCCCACCTCCCTGATAATCACGGAGGGAAGGTGATGGAAAGAAATGTGAGGGCTCTTGGAGTAAAGCCCAGGGGATTATTGTGAGCACATAAAAATCCAAACAGCTTGGGATGTATCTACCTGATGGAAAGGGGACAAGGGGAGGGTTATTATTCCAACAGAAGTGTCCAAAAACGCTTAATTCAAGTAACAATTGCGTATTTTTATCTTCAGCCAACTGGTTTGGATTTTTTAGAAACCGATGTTAATTTAAGTCTGTATCTGTTTATTTTTATATTTGTTGTACAAAAGAGAAATTGTGACTTTACCACACAAATATTATTCGAGGTCCTGGGTGCTACTCATTTAAACATACCTCCACCAGAATTAGGTGTGATCAGGTCCTCCGAGGCGGTCACGATATATCGATGACTTGCAATCACGTGTGCTAGCTGTTCACAAACAGGTGGGACGGTTTGTAGCCAGATATTTACTGATTTTATTTCTGATGCCAAAACATGCCTCAGCCTAATATATTTCAGTGCAGCTTAAAGATGCATCAGGTCTTTGTCTCGCCAGATTCCTCCTTAGCCCCCAGCTCAGCAGACCTGTGGGCAGGTGCCAGCTTGAAGCACCCACGTTGGGTCTTGAAGCGAAGCTGAGGCTGCCTGGTTGTACTTTGCTGATACATTGATTTTTTTTTTTTTGAAGGCAAGCAAACCTCCAGAAAACCAGGGCAAAAGCTGAAGCTGTGGCTGGTGAGCTGGGGGAGGGGCGGGGGTGTCTGTTGGCTCCATTAATTTCTCCATTTTTAAGACACTCAGCCAACAGCCGATTGAGGAGGCTCCAGTTGGTCAGTTGTGCAGTCTAAATATTTAGGGCCAGTTCATAGAGTTGCTTCTTTTTTTTTTTTTTCTTTTTTTCTATGAAAAATGATGTATTTTACTTCCTATGTATAAAAGTTACTTGTAAATTTTCGTGTGCCTTTGCATGTTTTCCAAGGGGCCGTGTGGTTGTTTATAAACTAGATTTTTTTTTTTTTTCTAAATACAGAATTGTAAAATATCTTTTTCCCCCCCTTCCATTTTATTTTGATTTCTGAATTATTTGTGAAATAAAACCTTCCCAGAATGAATGCTTCCCTTGTCTTTAATGCTCAGCCAGAGCTGGGTTTGTGTTTAGAAGAGCTATTTGGGATTACTCCTGGGGACTAGAGTATCCCTTGGAGACCCCAAATGAGATTGGGTTGTGCAGAGTCTGTTCCACAAACAAATAAATTAAACTGCCCAATACCCAAGCATTAAAAGTCAGCCTTTACCCCACCAAAAATAAGATGTATCCTTTAGTGAACCATCCTGAGAGTAAGGGAAAATCACTGTCTTTAAATCCTTGCAACGCAGGGGCTGAAGTAGATTAAAAAATCTACTAGTTGGAAAATGCATTTAATGAATTAATGAGGTAAAATACAACTGAGGGGAAGTCATCCCCACCTGAGCAGGCTGTTCTTAAATATACCCTTTCTTTTTTTATTGAAAGGAAAAGTGGACAGATTTTTAATTCCCCTTGAAGTTTTTCTCCCAGCTCCTACTCACTGACAGCGCCACCAATCCAACCAAGTGGTTTCCCAGTAATTCAGCACCATCTTGGTGAAAGGAGCAGCACCAAAAGGAGGTTCACAACTCAGCCTGCAGGCAATGAGCACCACGTGGCTTTGGACCAAAACTGTGGGCTGAGACATGGGAGGGGGTCCTGCCTGACAAGAAGACCATGGAATTTTCTGTTTTCCATTTTGTTTGCATCACTCCAAGGCTGGCCTGGTGCAGTTATGGCTGAACAGTGTTTACTTGTGAATTCCAACCAAGGACTGCAAGATAACACCGTTATTGCACTGCCGGTGATTCCTGCAGGAGGAAAATGTCATGGCTGGTGCAGTCCCTGCAATTCCAAACTGTGCATTTGAACTTGTTAATGCCCAGTTTGTGCTTGCTCTTACCCTCTCTCCCTTCTGCAAAAGTATCTCCTTTGCTGAAAATGTTCAGGAAGACTTTCATGAGCAGAACTTAAAAGTAAGTAAAAAAGAGAATTCAGCCTAATGGTCATTGTGAGGTTTCTTAGACCTACGAATTGCAACAGTTGTTTGATTTCCTATTTGTTGGGTGCTACAAAACAACACAACCTGGAGGGTTGGAACTAATTGATATTAAGATCTCTTCTAATCAAAACCGTCCTACGATTCCATGAATGCTCTGGCAAAAATTAGGTCTTGGTTGGCTTAGAGATCAAAGCAGCATAACGCCCAAAATTTAAGGCTGAAGCTAAGCTACCCCTTTGGGTCAGCTTCAAATCCTTTGACACCATCTCTGGTTTTGCTAATGGTTGTCTCCTCCTGCTCCAGCCACGTGCTTTGTCATGTGTTCATCCACCAGAAAATGGTGTTGTCATGAATGCTGTGTGAGAGCAACGTGGCAGCCAAAGCTGGGTGTTCTTTCTGTGCAGCGGGGATGAAGCCCAGGTAAGTGAAGGCTGAGGGCAAAACACAAAGAAGCAGGAGAAAAATGGATTTTTTTCCCTTCTGGGAGTGGGATTCAGATTCATGCTTTAGTGGAGAGGGCATAAAAACTAGAAGTTTGAATGAAAGTAGAGGGGAAGGGAAAGAGAAGATTACGTGGACTTCAGTGAAGGTGACCTGTTTTCCCGCATTGATAATCCTCTGGGATCAACAAGAAGCTGGGCTCTCCCAGCTTGCTGTTTCAGGGAGAAATGTCTTATTGCTGGTTGTTTTGCCTGCTCCTCACCCCGTGCTGAGCTCATCAGAGGCTATGTATAGTATGGGCATACCTTGGGGTGGGTGTCCTTCCAAAAACCCACAGTCATTTATAGGATGTGCCCCAGGTTGTTTTCAAAGCCATTTTGCAAACGATGGGGTTGGCTCTCATTTATACTAAGGACCTACTTTAGGGCACTTAGGAGACATTTATGCCACTTTAGGGTGTGGAGAGAGCAGTGTAAAGAAGCCTCAGTGTAAACAGAAACCACCCTTATATCTTGTTGACAGTGGTTAAAATAGGGTTAGGGAGTTAAGTCAACAGACAAGGTTTGCCTTGTGCAGCTCCCTCTGCTCCTCACCCTCCATGCCATGTGAGCAGGACAGGGTTATCCACAGTGTCCCTCATCAGGCACTGCACAGCCCAGCACCTCGCAGGGATATTGAGTGTCAAACTGAGTACAAGGATATTTTTAGCAGGTGAAGAGTCAGGAGGCTCAGGTGGAATGTGAGGACTGAGAGCAGAAGGGAGCAGAGGCTTTCAAAATAACTTCAGAGCTTTATTATGTCTTACAAGTGCTGCTTCCCTCAGGTTTGGGACTCCTCTAGAGTCAATGGGTGACTGTGACCCCAGGAAAGGCCTTACCAACACATACACTGTCCTGAGAAGTGCTTGGCACTGATATCCTCGAGTTTTTATTTCAGTAGCTGCTTCAAGGCTTGTTTCTGCACATCCATCTTTTGCACTTGTGGAAGCTGAGAAAATACCATGTATTAACCAAGCCGAGGGGCCTGAGGACAAGTTTGTCAGAAACAAATATCAGAAACAGCCTAAATTCCCTCTCTACCAGCTTAGCAGGCTTTGTAAGTTGGGGGAAATAAAATAAAACCCAATACAGATTGACTGTGAGAGGGTTTTTTTAATACCATCTCTTTTGACATGCTTTAGTCAAAACATGATTTATATGAATGCAGGGGGCTCCAAAACTGTGTCAGTACCTGTGTTGGAAGAAACAATCTGCAAAAATAAGCTGTCACTTGGAAGGGAAGAAATGAAGGAATAATAAAAGATGGAGACCAATCAGAAAGGAATAATTCAGCCCAACTGAGATAAAAAAAGAGTCAAAAGCACCACGCTATGGGCAAGGAGAGAAATGTCATAGAGATGTGCAAAGAGGGACAGGGTCTAAAGGCAGGTGAGAAATATTTCAGCTTTGCTTTGTGCTGCTCAGGGCTCTGGTGTGGTGTGGTGATGTCTGTACCTCACTGCCTGAAAAGTACTCAACCAGCTGTGGGAAGTCCAGGAGGAAGCAAAGAGAGATCTGAGACCTCAACCAACCCTCAAGAAAGGAGGAAAGATCGCTGAGGATGACAAAGGTGAGGAAGAGGATGCTTGAAGTGTGTAAAGGTGCAGAAGGGGGAGGGAGGGTATTTGTTCTTCCTGCCCAAAGGACCACCACTGAGAAGGGATGGGCTTAAAATGCAGTAGGAAATATTGAGACTGGCCATTAATAAAGGCTCTGACTGGAACAGATTATCTGTATGGTCTTTTCAGACCACCATTCAAGATTTTTAAGAATATGCTGGATGGCAGCTGCTAAAATTGGATCCTGCTTTGGGTGGAGGATGGGCTAGAAGATGACTCGATAGCCCTCCGAGTCCTTATTTCTATAATTTTCAAGGCTAAAGGAAACATGACATTATGTGGGAAGTGTTATCATCTGCTTGGACATGGCCTGGCATTGTCCCATGAGTGATACAGAGATGACTTTGTAGAAGTGGCCCAGGTAAAGGTGTGCAGCACCGTGCCAGTATGAACTGAGATGATAAAAACTATTTACTGCTCTCTTAACTCTTTGTTGTTCTGGCTTTTGGGGTTTGTTTGGGGGTTTTCACCCCTGTAGATCTTTTGGCAGACAAATGAGTCCTGTGGGGGATTCTGAGGTGTGTTGCAGATGGACCTGTGGACCTTCTGCCGTGTCTGAGGTAAAATACTGGGGAAAACCCTACAAATGCTGCTCTGAAACGCTGGCAAGGGGTGATTTAGGGCACCCCTGTAGGGATGTCACCAAGCAGAATAACCCAAACCGAGTGCTGGCTGCTGGGGAGCAGCAGGTTCTGCTGAAGTGCATTTCAGTGCCAGGCATGCAGCACCATCTGAGGACAGGCTTTTGGTGGGAAGATGGAGACCATGGAAATTTTCTCATCTGCAGAGTCATGAAACAATCTCAGGCGTCTGAGGGCAGCTGGCCAGCTCAGCAGGCTGTGTGAGCCTTTCCAAACACACGAGTGAAGTCAAGCTGTCCTAAACCCTTACTGCAAACCAGATGCACGGAGCTGAGTAGCCTGGTGCTGGACAATGCTTTCCTTGGGAACAGCTCCACTATCAGAGAACAATGATGTCTGTAACTCCAAAGCACTAAAACGGAATTTGTTTGGACACAGCCCATTTTAACAAGAGCAGTAAAGTTATGAAAACACCCAAGTTTTCATGAGCTCCAAAATCTCTAGTCTAGACCAAGAAAAGGGCTTTAAAAGCCAACTCTGCTTGATGTTGTGGACAGCTCTGGATGCAGTTCCAGATAATGCTTGTGATCCAGTTTTAAGGAGAGTTACTGGAAAAATGGTCAAGCACTGGCTCCTTGACCTTGTGCATGGTATGGCACGACGGGGGGCTCAGTGTGGAGGGGGTCCCTGACCCTCCCCGGGTGTCCCTCACTGACGCAGGAGAAAGTTGTGTGAGGTCTCCACTCTTGTCTTATATAATCCATGACTTCAGATAAAATTAATGCCAAGTACCCAAAAAAGGGATTGTGTGTGTTCTCTTCCCGTAATCTGAACACAACGTTCGACTGTGACAGTTTTGCCAGTAAAAGAGACATTTTTCCTTTGCCATGAGATCCAGATTTAAAATTAGCTGTGTCTCAGCAGAGCCATCAGCAGCGATCCCTGAGAGCCTCGGTGCTCGGTGTTGGAGGTTCAGGGCCATAAAAGAGCCCAGCATTCCAGTTTAAACAGTGACCAGCAAAGTTTGTTCAGGGAGGGCTCCCTGGCTGTTAACAACAGCAGCCTCCGTTAGCTCCTGCATCGAGAAAACCAGTCAAACTTTATAAAAATACTTCCTGAAGTAAATATTAGTGAGTCACAGATAGTAAATATTAATAACTCATACGTTGGGAACAGAAATATTAGCAGGATCTGTAAGGGAGCTCTTTTTTATGTGCAGTGTTACAGAATTGGGTATGTGTTCCTCTCTCTCTCTCTGTCTTTTTTTTGGTTTTTCGGTGTGTGCCAACCTTTCCCATCTGAGATGCAGGTTTGGAGCTCCTCTGAGGTCTTGGGTCAGTGAATTTGGTTGGTGTCCAGGTCCC